AGTCTGCCTGCCTGCCAGTGTATCTACTTTTCTGATCCATTCCCCAAAATGACTTTGGAAGGCACCATTCAGTTTAAAAAAAAATTTGTCAGAGCAACTGAACTCTCAATACAATGATGCTCCAATGAATGGGAAAGACCCTTGGAGACAACTAGAATTATCACAGTAATGAGGAGAAGCAGATGAGGGAAGGTGTCATAAAAATAAATTCTGTAATATTTCTGAAGTACTCAATTATTGCAGCAATGAGCACTGTGGAAAAGCCCATACAGGCCTAAACACTTCTGTATCTAAGGATCAGTTATGTCAAGTGATGCAGTGTCACATATTGAACATTGAGGATAAAGTGAAATATGAAAGCTGTGAGACAGAGATCTCCTGGATCTCAATATTTCTCCTGCAGTGCCAATATCTTTCTATGTATTCATATAAAGCCTATCATAAACGAATTAGGCTTTAGCTAAAAACTGGTTAGGTTTCCTAATTGATGGCATGAATCTCATGTAAGCCTCTGTTCCTCACACCTTGCTTTCAAGCTCCCTCCACCTGGATTGCCAGCTCTAAACCTAGAAAGCTGAACTATTTTCTCCTCAGGTGCCTCCTAGTAGTCAGATATCCTAAAGCTTCCAACGACATTAATCCAGTGGTAATCAAAGTGCTATTATCAGGGTCCTGAATGCACTATAAGGACTTTAACAGCCCTGATCAGCCCCACCTGGGGCTCCTACCCATGCTCTCTGTCCATTGGCCTGGGGGCTCCACTTAAGCTCAGCCCTGGGCTGTCAGTCCCTATTTGGGTTATGCTGTAGATGCGTCTGTCTGCATTCCTGCCTCCTGGATGGACCTGGGGCCTATGCTGTAGGTAGCTTCTACTGGTGGACCTCTTCCCATGTGTTGTAGCTTGTCTCTCATTTGTCTTCTGGATGGATTTTGAACTCATGTTGTGAGCTTGTTTCTGGGTCTGTCTCTTGCTGCTCCTGAATTGCCCCTGGTCCATCCCCTTGTTGTGTCTGGAGCTGACCATGAACTGTGGTACCAGTTCCCTGCTCTGCCCACTGTGCTCAGGATGGTGCCCCCTCAGTACAGGCACAGCCTGTGCTGCAATAGCCCTCAGATTATAGCTCTTCAGCCCTTAAAGAGCAACTGGTCCTTGCTACTCCCTGATAATCATCTCCTTAATCATCATTATCGCCTCGCAACTCTGACCTGGCTTTCTAGGGCATAGAAAAATGTCAATGTAGTTCCTCTGAATCTGTACTGATCTGACTATTTTCTCCACCTTGGCACAATCATCTTTGTGTTCCACTGAGATCCAGTGCATTCTGAGGCCTTGCGTTTGCTAGAGAGCACAATCTTCTAATTTTTCGGACCAACTTTTGTGAGAGAGATGTGGACTTAATTTAGCAGTGAATATCAAGTCAGGGACATGCCTGTACTCTCTTTGTGTTGGTGTTGAGTGCACCTCTCATATTCTCCTTTTCCTAAGCAGATATCCCATTTCCTATTTTATCTGACAGCTTCCTGTATTTCATTCTTGTTCCTTCCTGGACTTCAGTCTCTGGCTGACTCTCCAATTTCTTCAACAGAACAAATTGTCTTGTTACTTGCAGGCACCTCACCTATCCTTATTTCACCTTACACTTAAGTGTAACAGGTCTCTTCCACAGCTCAGTTTCTCCTGCATTAACTAGTCTTTCTGCAATGGCCACTTATATCCATGGGTCACCTTTCTTGTGTGTGTTTTACTTGAGCTGTTTGCTCTCTTCTCCTATCCAATTCTTTTCTGTACTTTTTGTCACCTCATGTTTCATTCCCTTAGCTGTTTTCACCTATGAATGCTGTCTATGCGATTACTCTACATGGAAAAAATCTTCTATGAGATGCCCATCCACAGATAAGATATGGCAGACTTGCTTTCTCTTCCAAAGATGAAATCCTTCATCTTTGCCCCAATACCCATCAATTCTCTTTTCCTTGTTCTTAAGCCTATAGAAAAACATTACTCCTTAGACCTAACACTTTCCAAAAAAAGTTCCATGCCAGCTCCACTCTTTGCTTCTGGCTGCTCTGTGACTCTCCTGTCTGCTGGCTGCTTGGCTTTTCAACCCTTTTGTCTAAGCCAGCCATCCTTCCACATGTATTTGGTAAACTGTTCAATAGCAGGGATCACAGGCAGGAAGCTTCCTTTATGCCTCTGTCCTACTCACAACATGCCATTCCTAGATAGCCTCCACAAACTACAGTTTGCAACAAACTAGTGGGCAATGAGCAAACTAACACATCTACTTACCTCCAAAGAACAATTGGACTCTTCCTTTCTCAGTGAATTTTCCTGTTTACTTTCTGAATAATTGTTCATGAGTGTTCACACCATCTGTGCTGTGCACTGTAAGCACAGAGTCCTGTGGAATAATGAATATTTGATCATATCATTCAAGGCTAAAAGGAGATTGTATGGTTTAATTCTGCCATTTCCCAACTGTACAATCTCAGCATTTCTTTCATGTAATTTTTTTAATATAGTGAGTGCACAGTTTCTGTATATATCTCTAAAAATCCCCATGGGCAAACTTACAAATTTTGTATTGAAATACACTAGCGTTTTCCTAAGAAGTGACTGGATCCAAGATATTTCATTCTGATCCATTTTGAAATAAGTTGTAAAGTTCAGATAACCTGAAGTTTGGGGACATTAAAATCTATGGTTCTGGGCCAGGCTTGTTTTATCTCTTCTCACTCCTGTTCCTTTTCTCTGTTCTATGGCTTCTGAAAAGTAGTCAGTGTGTCCACAGGGGGGAACTTATAAGCCTGAAGAGCCAAACCCAAACAGGGAGAAGCCCGACACTGTTGCTTATTAGTATTTTTGTCTTTGTCTCTGTAATTTGTCATCTGATTTAGTGCTTTGAACATGGATGACTTTCTTGTACAGAGGTCTGGAGAGGCATCACATAATGTGCTACATGTTGTATCCTCCTGAGGTTTACTGGTGCTGAGCTCTGACAGAAATGCATACCCTGAAGTCTGTGCTCAGTCTTCCGTGAGGAGGCAGCCAACCGCTCTGTGCAGCAGCAAATCTGCCAGCTGGCCATAGAGGGGCAATGGCATCAGCTGCAGCCTATCCCCTTTGCTAGCTACATGACATATCTGGTCTGGGAGGATTAGAAACCAGGGGAGCGGAGAGCAAATTGCTGCAGGGAGATGAGTTTTGGGGGCAGGGGAGCGCATTCACGCGACTGCTCTTTTGAACATCTCTCTCTTGATCCCAAGCTACCTGCTATACGAGATGGGGGAAGGGGGGACTGCAAAGGGAGAGTCTGACTTTCAGGAAGGACTATGGAGAAACATAACTCACATTAGTGGCGAGATTAAAGGATTACATTCAATTCACACCCCAGTCAAAATGAAATTTCAGCCTCTGCTTTTTGTGTAACATGCAGTGGGCCAGAGCTGTGACAGTGGTTACAGAGCTCAGCATCCTCAGCAGCACATGGAGGGAGAGGGCTCTAGTCACTGATTTCTGTGCATTTCCAGCTCTAGTACAAGTGTCTCCTTGCATGTGAAATACATACCGCTAATGAGCAGCTTCTCTTATTATGAATATAGAACCTGACCTATGGTACCACCTTTCCCTTTCTCTCACCCCCTATGCTGGATATTTCCTCAGATAATTTCGACGGGAAATCCTTTCTCTAAGGTATTGCAAACAGATATTGGAATCCTGTTTCTTAATTAAAAAACCAAAAACAGTAAATCCCAAAACAAACAAAAAAAAAACCCCACCCACAACATAAAAGCCCTCCTGGTAAAGCACTTCTTGGATATGGCCCGATATTACAGAATCTTGTGCACCAAATCACAGTGGAACTGGCTATTATATTCCTTGTGCATGAAATTACTTGAGAATGGAACCAGTTTCAATAGTAACTTTCCATTTGAGGGCTGGACTAGCTCAGTTTCTAAGGTCAGGTTTCTGGTGTGAATACCGGATTCCAAAACTGACATATATTAGATATGTCCATGATTAAAAATCATTATTGTGCTCCAATGAAGGCAGATAAGTACAGAGGAAGCAAGTTCTTTTTTCAAGTCAATAGTCACAGAGAGAACTCTACTAATCTGCCAGTTTTAGACATTTTGCTCTTCTTTGTTTACCCCTCAAATATTTTGTAAATTGTTGTTTCCTACCTTAGGTAGGTTTATATGCTATGACCTTGTAGATCAGCCCCATTCTTCAGCCATGCCAGTTTTTGCTCATTTTTGTTGAACGTTTCTCATTTATCTGGTAATAAGATGTTCAAAACTGAACACAGCATTGCAGATACAATTTCCTATCCACTTGGAGTTACAGTGCTTAGTTACACAGCCCAAAATTTTACTGGGCCTTTCCTGCTAACCTGTTTTTTTTTTTATATATATTCATGTATAGGTTGGTGCCTACAGTACCTAAGTGTCTTGAAATATCAGTGCTTTCCTCTCACAGAATGTGTGGTATGGATTGTTTTTCTGTGGGTATGCTGGTTGTTATTTTTCCAGGTTTATTATTTTTACTATATTTCTAACTGTGCTAAGAGGTCCAGGATTACTTGCTCATAATTTAGTAATTCACGATGATTTCATTGTCCTATATTTACTCTCTCTTCCAGACCTTTATTAATGTCAAATAAGACAGGATACCGCGTCGTCTGTTAGACTGTGCTCTCCTGTGACACAACTTTAGAGGCTGTTCATCAATGTAATAATAAAATAGTCAACTGGAGAGTTAAAAAGAAATTGTTGCCACATGCATTTAAACTAGAAGATAGAAGAAAAATCTACATCATTAGTGACGGTGTGAAGAGATAAAGCTACACATTTAAGCTCCAGGCTCTGTGGGTTTCCTAAGAGAACCAGGCAACTGTGGGGAAATTGCACAGGAGAAGTCCCACCTCCTCATGAGGCTGTTGGGCACTCCATTGTGTTCTTGCTTGTAGCTAATTGAATGCATTCTCCTTCCTCGACAGGTCCATGGGAAGTGTGTGTGTAGACACAACACAGCAGGGGACCACTGTGAGAAATGTGCACCGCTATACAACGATCAGCCTTGGAAGCCGGGAGATGGAAAAACAGGGGCACCAAATGAATGCAGAAGTAAGTGGGAGGGAGTTTGCTGATCCAGGCTTTCAGGATAAGCACTCACCATGCCAGCAGGCAAAGTTCCCTAACAAAGACTTCTGTCAATTTACACTAATGGTGCCATTACAGAAACTGGGGATAAGTTGGTGGTCACTGATGGAAAACTTCAGTATGCATGTTGTTTTACTGCAGCTGACCCATCTGGGCTATTGGGAAGTGGAATTTACAAGGCAGAAATCTGTTCTTCATGCAGCTATGTCCCCTCACATGTTTTAGAGTTCCAGAGTTTTGTGCAGGCCTTACAATATCATTCAGATTGGTCTGTCTTACTGTAAGAATACCACAGAGCTCGCAACCACCCAAGCTTCTCAGAACCTGCTGGAACTCTTACTCTGTGTTGCAATTTCTACTTTTTATGAAAATCAAGGATTGCAGGCAGATGAAATGTGTTACATTCAGATGTTTCCTTCATGATTTACAGTAGGAAAATTATACCATTTGAATAGTATTGCTGTGTCTATTATATCAGCCTGAAATACATTCTCCTGTTTCCCACTAGAGTGTCGCTGCCACAGCCACGCTGACAGCTGCCATTTTGATCTGAGTGTTTGGCTGGCATCGGGAAAGCGCAGCGGTGGAGTCTGTGACAACTGCAAGCATAACACAGAGGGCCATCGGTGTCAAAGGTGCAAACCAGGGTATTACCGAGACAGAGGGAAACCCATGTCTTCTACAGAAGTCTGCAAACGTAAGTGACTATTGTTACATGTGGTGAAGACGAATGGTGGAAGAATCATTAAAAGAAAGAAATCAGTCATTCCTATAAAAGTAACTCATGAGTATTACTATCCTTTCTTTGTATTCTTTTCCTAAGCTACAGGTTTCTGACCAAAGCTCATCTTCCTGATTTTCTGTGTCTATTTCTCCCACTGGTATCAGACTTTTTTTTTTTTTTGGTAGTGATAACTGCTCCAGTTCTCCAAATGCATTGCATTCTGGGGAAAGGTACATTCTTCTTGTGCTTGCATTTAAAATACTGTGGTTCCTTTTTCCTTAAGGTACGTTTTATTTACCTGTTTTTTTCTGCATCTCTCAAGACACTCTGTGCCTATGTATAGGCTATTGTTAAATTCCATTTGGTTGTGCAACATCTGTGCATATATATAACTAATAATGGCTGCAAGAGGTGTAGGAAGCATGAGACCTTGCATATCCACTTGGGAACAAACAGATCAGAGCTCAGTCAGACTTATCTCTGGATTATACAGCTGTATTATGGGGTGCTCTGCCCAAATTAATTGCCTCATTAGCACTTCAGCAGGTCATGTTAGGAAGTAACTCGAGCATAGAGGCACTAATGGTTGTACACAGAGGGTGTACAACCTCTGGATCAAGGCAGTTTCCACCCAGCCAGTCTGGAACATAGCCCAGATCTGCCTTACTTAGGGTAAACATTTCCTGAGTATCCTGCCAGGCTTCACACATCTGATTCCATCTGGCATCTATTTGGGAGGTTGCTATTTCCAACAATATACATAATTTCTCTTCTCTCTTTGAATAGTTTTCCTTCCCCTTAGCTCAGAGATCTGTTGCCAGCACAGAGAACTTCATCCTCTGTCATCTATACTCATGCCCACTGACATCATGTGCTTCTGAAGCTTACCTGACCCTTTGATATTCTTCATCTAGGTTCATCTTAAAACACTCAGGTTACAAAGACTCCTCTCCCTAGGACTGTATGGCCTGTGATATTACTTAAACGTTCTGTGCACAACACATCCTGTGCTTCGGCTCTTTTGTATTCTTGCCACTGGATCTTAGTGCCAGCACTGACTGCTTCCACACCACCTCTTCTTTTTGATTTCACAACGTTCATCACAGAACACTGATTAGCAGACAAGGCTGGGGGTGAATCTTACCCTGTATTTCATAGTGTCCCATGGTGGCCCCTTTCTAGTCCTGTTTCTACTCGGAGCAGATTTTCTACAGGGAAATACTGTAATGAGAATAATTTGTTGTGCCAGAATATTAGTTTTCTATCTCATAGTACCTGAAAGAATCTGTGTATGAACTCTTGTATTTAACAGCAGGTTGATGGTGTAGTAATCAACATCATGTGTAATATTAGATAACTGCTAAAGTCAAGGAGGACTGGAGACCAGTGAAGAGGAAAAAACATTGTTTGAAAATACAGCCTATCTGTGTGGAAACCCTAGAACAGTCTGCCTGGATGAAATCAGATCTTGGCTCTACCTCTGCCTCTTTTGTCTGGTCTGGTTACAGGCCTCTTAGTACCTCCTGCCAATACGCTGCATGGCAAAAGAAAAACTGTTCAGGAATTTACCTTGTTGAAAGAGCTTTATTCCTATCATGCCAGTCAAGCACAATGATGTTCTTTTCACCTGGGAACATGCTGCTGCCAGCAGAAGGCCCCCAAATGCAATGGTTTCCACTCTGACTGGCATGCTCAAGCCTAGATAGCTGCCATCCCACTTTAGCCACCTGAAAGTTGTATGTCTTTTCTAGGCTCCCTGGACAGTCAGTGGAGAAACAGTGGGACCTCTAGGGAATGACTTATTGAGGTCTAATGTAGATGCCTGAGATAGATGAGCTGAATTGCCCTCTAGAGGATAACTATTTCTCTTCCTTGGCTTAAGAGGTATTCTTGATCACTAGGCTGCACTAGAGTTTCTGTTGGTTGAGATGAATCTAACAGGTTTCATATGCTGTACCTCCGGAGAGAATTTTCAGGGAACGTTTTGTTACTTTGGTTATTATCAGTGATAGCAAAACCAGAAACACCAGTGCACACAGGCAGAGTTGTTTTGGTTAGAACAGACTCAGTTTGACAGAGGGAACATTTCACCTCCTGGACCATCATCAGCTCCTTATGCCTAGAGCTGATATTAAACTGAAAGGGCCTCATGTAGGATGTAAGATAGAGGCCCTCTTCTCCATCCTTTAGGTTGCAAAACTTGCATTGTTGTTAAACTTAATTGGGTGTGCTCTGAGTAAGTTGTTCAGTTTGTATGACCCTAAAAACAACTCTGGTTACCCAGGAAAAAACAGTTACTGTTTTGAGCATTGCTAATATGTAAGAAACCAGACAATTAGACCACCAGGTACATTTCTTTCATACCTCAGCCTGCTGATCATAAACTGAAAAGCTGCGACTTCTAGATTAGCATGTTTGTGAGGATTTAAATGTACCAATTCCAAGGCATCATCTAACTTCAAGAAAACCATGCAAAGAGTGCCAGACTAACAACACTAAATGAAAAACCCACCCACTGAGCAAGTGCTGAAAAGCAGTGATAAACTGCAAATGGATGATTTTGGTGAGAGAAACTGCTCCTCAGCTTCCCATTTTGAACTCAGAGGGAAAAAAAACCTCAATGGGAGATCAAAACTTGACCCTTGTGTACAGTAGATACTGAGCTGGGAAAGGAAATCTGATGAAAAAGCTGAATGAAATGCTGTGCTAATCCCTTTGAGAAAGCACGCTTGAAGAGTGCTCTGCCATCCAGAGCAAAGTCTATGTTCAGCTGCGACATCCCCCTCAGGCTCCCAGAAAGTTAACAGGACACTGCTCAGGCCCAGAAAGAGTCTTTAAGCATTAGTCATAATAATGAACAGCATTCTCTCTTAATCACTGCTAGGAAAAAAAACTTGTATAACAATTGGATGTCCTGGCACTATCCAAACCACCCTTTGCTGACCCTCCAGTGTGAGACTGCAAAGACATTCTCTTGAAAACAAAAAAAAAAAATCTGTTGAATTTTGCCATGTAAGTGTGAATCTGCTATTTCTTTTTGTCTGCAGAGGTAGCCTGCATCCGATCCCTTTGCTTCTCCTATTCCTAGCAGCTGGGGATGAATGAGAGCCAGGGTGTGTGCACAGCCTTGTTTTGAGACTGCTTAGATCTATGTTTAAAAAAAAAGAAGGCATGAAAAGATCCCCAGAGCAAGGCACACACCTGCCTGTTATTGGGGGTGACAACACAGGATTAAGTAGTTTGGATATAGACTTGTATGGGAGCTTTGACTCGGAAGCCTAATCGTTTCCTAACCAATGGTTAGAAAAGCTGCTGTATCCTTGGCTCTTTCCTGTGGCTTATTTGAAGGCTTAAGGGATCCTTCTGAAATGGCACCATCTTTTGTACTCACCCTTTGCTTAGCTTAAAAAATAATGCAGGCATGTAGACCCATTAAAATGGGTCTCCAGGAAAACAAGCTTTTTTACTCTAAGCACAAGGGTTAAAAATAAAATGTGCCCAGATGCACATGCACACACACACGCGCACACACTCTGAAAAGCTCTGCTTCTCATCCTTTTACTTCTGAGCAGAGGGAGTGAACTTTTAATTGTTATATCACAAAGCCTGATCACATCTTGGTTCAAAGTCTGTTTTAATCAGCCCTGACCACACATGCAGCTGTCTATCTTATTTCCTTCATTTAAGAAACATCATTGGCTGAGTCAATCCCCACATCTGACATGCTTCAAAAATTACCCTGATTTGGTCATATGCTCCAAAGATGCACATGTATATATTTCAGATTCAAAAGGCTTTGTTTGATTTTTGCCTGTTTTTCATCAAATAGCCAGAGTCTCCTCATAGCTATATCTTATGTAGTATTATTAGACAGAAGTTTAAGGCAAGATAGGTCAAAGTCTACTGAATTACCTGGAGCACTTGCTATCTTCCTATGAGTTGGGACCGTATTTTTACAACCAATACTGCATTTCACATCTGTGTCTAATTACATAGGAAAGACAGCCATGCTGAGGGCAGACCTATTTACTGAGGACTTGAGTGGAGAGTGCTGTATGAATTATTCATTTATCATTATTCTTTGTCGTCTCCTTTTTACAGTAGTTCCTGACAAAACAAACTTAGTATAGGAGTGAGACTAAAAGGCAAGAGGATGCTTGGTGATACTTTGTGACTGACAGCCAATTCTAAAGTACAATGATGAAATTTTTCATTACACTGCTGTCAAGGGGAGAACCCAAATAAACCAGCCATCTCTGAGCCAAAACTGTCTGCACACCGTCCCTAACATAATTGATGATGCCTTTGACAAACAAGGCCATTGTCATGTCGGCTGGTGTTTTGTTAGACAGGGAGGCAGATAGAGAGAAAACTAGGGTTTGCCAAGAGAAAAGAAGCAAAAATCAGCAGGGAAAGATGCTGTGTTGTCAAATATTGGGAAATGTAAAAGGGTGAGGTTTTAGAAACTTGGTTTTATGTTTCTTTAATTGTGAGGTTTATCTGCAAATCTGTGGTACTATTAAACAGATAAAATCCAGTCGTCAACAGCTGCCCTTTCAGCATGTGACATGTGGGCTCTTATTTTGGGAGTTACCTTAGATGCACAACTGGGATTTTGGCCGTAATACTCTGGAAGCCAGACAATGTACACACCCAAGCTGAAACGCTAAACAAACACAGACTGAGTAAAGCGTTCGCAAGCCACTTGTATAACTCATCTGAAAGTGTTGTACATTTATTGATTCAGCTTGTTTTCTGATCCACCAGAAGCTGTCTCAGTTTCTAATTGGGGAATATGTCCCACAATTCATTCTGGAACATTAGTTTTCCTGAACTGTAGCCCCAAAATGAGAAAAAAAAATGAGAGGCACTTTTTTCCTACCCCCTTATCAGCTTCTGCCAATGCTGTCAGTCACTGTCCTGTAGTACTTTCCCTTAGGGATAGGATGGGAGAAGGTCTCATCTTCCTGAATCAGGATCCAGTCTCAGTTGGTGATAGGTAGTCTAATGATGCTAATGATTTACCCATCTGTTATGTAACCCTAACTGATGAAACCTGAAAACCAGAAATAAGATGGGAATAAAGATGGACCCAGAAGTTGCAGAAATATAAGCAATTTAAGGTGAAAACTCCACAGGTAGATCCTACTTACAGGGATATTACAGTGAAATCAGAAACCTGGATTCAAGCCAACCCAGATGTTGGCAACCTCTTACTGCTTGTGGCTCAGACCTGTCTGCAGTAAAGGAAGTGTGTGCTTCACATCCTTATCCCCAAATCTATGACATTCGTATTTTTCAGTGACGGATGGAACTAAGTGTCTCCTCTTTTAGGGTGATGTAGTCAGCCCTGCAAAAATCTGGGCAAAAATAATTCAAGCTGAGCAGCAACAAATCAGAACTTGCCTTTGAAACTGTCAGTGCTAATGAGCACTTCATTGTTACACCTGCTCTCCAGAACTGACAGCAAAATCCCTGGGTTTGCTCCCAAAGTCAAGACTGCTTTGTGGCAAACAGGCAAGCCTGCTGCCATCCGCCAACCAGCTCATTGTGTTGAGTACATTGCCCATGACAGCACGCTTATTTTCTGTCCTTAGGCTATTGTGCTAGTGTCCCTTGAAAACAACGGATGGAGATCCGTCTACAGCGGAGTGTAATAATATTATTAAAAATATTGGCATAAAGAACATAGGGCATGGTGAAAAAAATAACTATGTAGTAAGCAGATCATAAGAGAAATATCCTTTAAACAAAATTGCTCACCATTTTTCTTGTACTATTTTCGAAAGATCTTTTCTTGACCATCAAATACGAGGTTGTAAATGACAGTGAATCTGTCCCTGCTACACTGAACACTCTTTATAGTCATATACTTTCCCCTTCCCTTTGGAAAATGATGTATGGAGTTGGAGTGTTCATTTGGTCTCCTATGTGAGAGCTCATGAAGAAAAGTAGTTACAAGCAATGATGGGCAAACTTCAAAAGGTTTGGAAATCATGTTTGGTTCAGGTAAGCATCCAAAAGGCTGGCCCCTGATCCAAGCTATCTAAACACCTTGGGTGTTCAACATTTAACTGAAAATCTCTGTTAAAGCAGGTCTTAGCCATAAGATTTTTGATTCTGCCCTCTTCCAGATGGATGAAGTAGTGATGCATTTCCTTTTTGGTCTCTGCTACAATCAAAAGCCAGGGCATGCTGCTTTGTTAATACAAAAAAGAGCTGAAATATGAAGGCCTGGAGTTCAGCTCAGGTCTCATTTTATTCATACCTGTTTAAATACCAGAAATGAGTGGGTGTGTTTATTGCTTGTATTTTACCTCTGCAAAGCTGTTAGCACAAGGCTTGACCATCTCAGTTAGCCTCTGCCCTGATAGAAAGGAGTCAGCTGTGTTGGCTTTGCACCACTATCTGTATATTACTTTCCACCTCACCCCCTGATGCTGTCACGTTGGGAATGTACTGGTGGAGTGGGATTATGACGGCTTATTGTCTGTGAAGGCAGAGTTGTCCACAGGAGCTGTAACTGTCTGTTTTACTACCACGTTGCCTTGAGTTGCCAGGCTGGTGTCAAACTGGCAATAGCATTAGAAAGATCTGTTTGGTTTTTTTTTCTCCTATTTGCTCATCTCCATATATATGTAAAATATGTCTAGTGAGTTTAAAGATCTTCTCTCATTCTGTCCACCTTCCTTATAATAAATCTGCTCATTTATCTGTACAGAAAATTTCATCAGCTTGCTTACACACATACAGTACTTGATGGTGAGATATGTCCCTTAGAACTTGCACTGAATTGTGGACTCTTTGGGAGGCAGAAATTGAAAAAATGTTTCAGGTCATTTGAACCACTTGCATAAGCTGCATCTAGTCCCAGAGGAAACAGTATCTTTGTGATCTCTGTGTTCTCAGGAAAGACAGAATCGGCAATAGCTATCTTTTTTTTTTTTTTTTTTTTTACCTTGTCCATGCTAGCAAATCTTTTTGCAAAACGCTTTAAAAGTGAATCACCTGTAAGCCCCTTTAAAAATCAACACACTGTGGAGGCTTCCTGCCACTGCTGCAAAACCCTGTATGGTCAAGATTTGTGTAGTAGGGAAGAACTGTCTTTTGCACATAAATGGGTCCTAGTTGTACTTGGTTTGCTGTGCTTAATGAGTTAAAAATAAACAAAAATTATCTTGCAAATGTAGGCTGACAATGCAATGTTTATCAGTTCTGACTTAAAACTACTGAGCGTAAGGAAGAGGGCATGAGTTTATCAGCCTTGAAAAAGTGTCACTTAACCAGATGACCCCTGGGCACATAATCTCAGTCACCTCTTACCGTATCTCCATAGCTTGCGCCTGCCAGCCAATGGGTTCAGCCAACGCAACTTTCAGCAGAAGCTGGCGATGCCACCCCAAGACAGGATTCTGCTACTGCAAGCCAGGTGTGGCAGGCCCCAACTGCGATAGATGTCTCATGGGCTACTGGGGCTTTGGAGAAAACGGCTGTCGCCCTTGTGACTGTGCCAGAGACTGCGACCAGCATACTGGAAACTGTTTCAATGGGTAAAGAAACCCTCCTTGGGGTTCACTTTGAGATGGGATTCTGTGAAATGAAACAAAGAATAACCGAAATACTGCAGCACTGACAGTGCACAATAATTTGAAAAGGTGGCGGTAAATCATAAAAGGTTTCTTAGATTCCATTCGGTGTCTGGCACACTTTAAAGTCCATTGTATTATCCAAGGCAATCTCAAAATTATGACTTTTTGCAGTAATAAGAGGCAACTCCATAACCCCACACAAATATGTACAGCATCTTTAAATATACCTGTTTGCCTTGGAAATACATGGGAGAGTCTGGAAAGCTTGCCTCTCATCTAGGCCCAGGGTAAAATGAATTACAAGGTCTCCCTCTTGTTTCTAGAGGGCAGGCATCTGCACCCCAAACATGCATTAATCAGTACAGAAATATATATGATTTGCTGAGTGACTGCAGTTTTATGGGTCCTGCAGGTGTCCTCAGTTCCTAGTGACATCAACATGCAGTCACTAACTTCAGTTACTCAATTCAATAAAAGCAAATAAACAAAGCAAAAAAGGCCCAGTGCATAGTTACTTTTAAAAACGTGAAGTCAGCAGCAGTAAGGCCTAAATAAAAGCCTAGATCTTGTGATCTCTCTATACAGCATGGTCTTGCTCTCATTTGCACTCCCAACATGAAGAAAGCAAGCTCATCTGTCTGGATACAGCCACATGCTGCAAACCCGATTCCCACCCATCTCATGTCCTAACCAAGTCTTCTGTTTTATGTGTCCCCCCAGCTACGACAATGAGCCATTCTTCAACATCCCCATTGGGGGACGAATCCCTGACACTGTGCAAATGCTAACCAACGAGAGCGAAGAGGAGTGGAAATGGAATGACCATGAGCAGGGATTTTCTGCACTGAGGCACCCAGGTACAGCCCAGAGTCTGGGAACATTTAGTAACTTCACTCAGGGTGAGCTCTTTCTTGTCTCCACCCTGACTTAAAGTCCCCCACTCTTCTCTAGCTTGTCTGTCCCCCATCTGCTGGCAACATCTGCTCATCTGAACTATATAGGTTATCATTAAACTTACACTGCTATTTTCCAAACTACTTGTACTATCCAACTTTGGTTTTGGAAATTGGTAAGTCATGAATAAGATTGTGTGGAAAAAATACTCTCCTTTTGTTGTAATTATAGTCATAATGCTTATGATTTTACACAGCTCCTGTTCAAACAGTCAACTGCTGTTCAGAACTTCAAATGCTATTTGTAAAAAGATCATGTCGGCCATCACTGAAATGCACCACCTCCAGGGTGGAATGCAAGCAATTTTAAGAGCAAGATATTCTTCCTGGCACAACAGCTGAGGAGATAAAATAAAATATACTGTATCCAGGTAAAGTTACAAAGAAAGTAGGCCTATAAAATGAGGTGGAGCCTTTAATACTTACACAGTTCTCGGTTTCGCATGCCTTGTAAGAAGGTCAGCACTTACCACCATCAATGGCTTGGTAAGACTCAGAGGTAACAGTGCCACCTATTGCATATCTTGACTTTTCCAAGAGGGATATTACCTTGATACTAGTGAGGATCAGCACTTCTTAGCTTATGGGATCGAATAAGGATATTGTTACTTACATGATTTACACCTGGATCTGATTCTTACAAATCTCTTTATTAGTATCAGTTTATTAACGGTACAATAGACCCCATGAGGACTGTATTTTACTTGACAGTACTGATCAGATTTCAGAACAATTATTGTATCATGTAGCAAGAAACAGATTTGCAAATAACTGAGCTCACTCTCAAATTTACTCTTAAGGTCTATCCAGATTACAGAAGCTATATGCATATAACTTTATAATTGAGTATCATTTGCTCTTCTTTTTTTTTTTCCTCTCCTCATTTGCTTCATGTCCTGGCTCTTCTCCAACCCTTTGTGTTCTTTGGTTCCCCTGCTAGAAAAGTGTGTGTGCAAAGAAAAGGTGCTTGGAAGCGTCACTGACTTCTGCCAAATGAAATATGCTTATGGTAAGTGGGTAACATGCCCCCAAGGTATGAAAATTTCACAATGTTCTCTCTATGCACATTATTAGCTGATAGCTATGAAAAATGACAGGTCTGACTAAGTCATAAAATAAGAGGTAGGATTTCTTCTGCCTTTTTTGGCTAGTGACATGTCCAACCTCTGATCAGAACTGAACAGGATTTTTCATGCAAGGCTCTGTGGTGTCTCCTCTCCAACCACTTAGTTTCCCTCTTTACAGCAGAAAGAGTGCTAGAATTATAACTCAGTGGAATAGCTGGCCTCTACATCAAGAATAAATGACAAAAGTTTTGCATCTAAAGTGCTCTTGTTTTTGCACGCATTATACAGGTGCAAATGGTCAATCTTATCTAACAAGAATGTATTTAATACTGCCATTTATGAACACCTAGTTCATGCCAGCCCATGAAGCAAGAAAGAAAAGCTCTGGGATCCAGAGGTTTGATGTGCTTGTGTCACGAGACAACAAAGCTTGCTTGTGGGGCTGATCTAGATGAGACTATCCTGCCAAAAAGTTATGGGATCCTATTAAATTAAAGGAACAGAAATTTATCATGGCAACCAGATGTTGGGCCACAAAACAAAAATGCTTTTTCTGGTTTGTTGTGCAATCATGGAATTTTAGCCATGTGACATGCCTGCAGTCTGATGGGAAACTTGACTTCCTTCCTGTAGAGTAGACAGTCCCTTCCCACAGGACAATTTTTGAGAGGCCAGCGTTAAAGTTCAACACAAGTTTTCAGACTGCAAAATATAAAGCCTAGAATCAGTGCACTTAAAATCAGACTGTTACCTACGGATCTGTTTTTTCCACTCTTCTTGTATGTATATACATACAAGTGCTTTCCTATGACTTTCAGGCATTTGACATCAACCATTAAAAAGAAATTGCTAAATAACATGGTGAAAGGATCAGTTAACTACTTCAATAGAAAAATCTAGGTTTCCTTCTCCAAATCTATTTAGAAGAACCATGACTTAAGTGGATGAGCATTAGAATGCACTTTCTGTACAACTGCAGTGTTCTTTCATGTCTTCTTTCAAGGTGTTAAAATTCTACCTTTTAGCAGCATAAAACAAAATTAACCTAAAAATTCATTGATGGTCTGATATGTTTTCTGGCAGTGATAAAAGCAAGAATCCTATCAGCTCATGACAAAGGAACCCATGCAGAAGTTGTTGTGAAAGTGAAGAAGGTCCTGAAATCAGGCAAAGTGAAAATTGCTCGGAGCAACAGAAGTATTTACCCAGAATCCTGGACCAACAGGGGATGTACATGTCCCATTCTCAACCCTGGTAAGGATAAAATGCTTACCAGGCATTTTCCTTCCCCAGTAAACAGCAGTGACAATTCATTATGAACATTAGCTATGGCTACTCAGTACTTCCCATCAGTCTTTCCAGGACAGAGTCCTTTGATCCTTCCACACCAAAGAGGTAGTCAAAAGACAGCTGCAGGAAAAAGCATTCTCTTATCAGAAACCAAAGTTTTACCAAAAACTTCCTGTAAAAGTTTTACTTTCAGTGACTTTATTTGATCTCCCAGAATACATGTGACTAGAAGAATGTTTGTGAGAAAAACAAAAAATCCCTTTATTTTTATGTCCAAAGAGTTTTCTTCCTCACTCTGTATTCTTACATCACATTCTACTTCTTTTTGGAAAAACTATAAATTATTATGAAAATGTTGGAAAGTGGAGGGAATCTAACTTCTTCTATGCCTTTGTAATAGTTTCAAATAATGAAAAGTAAGTCTTCCTTCTTTCTTCTACTGTAAATTCTGGTGCATTCAGTGGTTTGTTCCATCAAGGCCTAAAGCTGACAACCTGCAGCATACTGGAAACCAATTATGGGTGGAGAGCATAAAACCAAATTAATTTAATTTAAAACCAAGTAAGATAGGAAAACCTTTACTAGTTAGAGAAATCATCTTTAAAGTAAATAAAGCCCCTCTTTTTATAACCAGTTTAGAATAGGTCTCTAGGTTTGCTCCCTAATCACATTCTATTAGAATGATCTATGTTTGTTCACCTTTAGTTATGGGAAACTCACTGCAGCAGTGGAATGGGAAAGTAGGGTAGTGGAAAGCAGCAACTTTCTCCCCAGGTCTGCTACAGGCAGAAATATCACACAAGACTGCAAAGCTCCGTACTACTGCTCAGTATTGTTATCAGTGGCTGAGAAGACACATTCCTCAATTCAACCTTCCCTCTTGCTGCCTTTCCTGGAAGACAACTTAGTGTGGACCACATAGAGAAATAAGTTTACTCGAACAGCTAAAATCTCTGGGTAAATCTCAGAATCCTGCAAATTTGAGCCTGGACTCTATTTTTTCAACTAGACTCATACAATCATTTAGGTCGGAAAAGACCTTTAAGATCACTGAGTCCAACCATAAACTTAACACTGCCAAGTCCACCACTAAACCATGCCCCTAAGTCGATGCTAAGTGTCTAATTCTGATAGATTTTTGATTATTCACAGCCATTCTTTGTATCACTGAAGTTCCAAGTCTTTGGGACCGTGTCCTGGGATCAGTACCCAAATAAGACAAAGACTTTAGGTGTCATTACCATGACCAGTAGTGTATGCTGGGGATCATGTTTCACTGCTCAGCCATATACCACAGAAAACAGTGACTTGTCAGCACTCTAAAAGCAGCCATTGATAGAAAAATTACCCCAAGTTTTTTCCTCTGAATAGATTAAAGACATATCCACTGAGTGAAAAGTGTCCTGGTTTCAGCTGGGATAGAGCTAATTGTGTTTTAATCCTTCCTTCGCAGTAGCTAAAATTGTTGTGTTTTGAATTCACTAAGGGATTTGATATGAGAAGAATGTTGAACATGTACTTATGTTTTTAATTGTTGCTAAGAAATCAAGGACTTTTCAATTTCTCATGTCCTGCTAGTGTGCGGGTACACAAGAAGCTAGGGGGGAATGTAGCCAAAACAATGGACCCAAACTGGCCACTGGAATATTCCATATCATCAATGTCATGCCTGGTATATAGATAAGGTTTGATCAGAAAGCTCCACTCAGGCTTTTGGGGTGGTGATTTCAGGATTCTCTCTTCTCTGGGATTGTGCTGGGCATTGGTCAGTGGGTGGTGAGCCATCGTATTGTGCATTACCCATTTGTTTTTTCTACTGTTATTTTAATTTTATTTCAACTATTAAATTGGTTTTATCTCAACCTATGAGTCTCCTTCCCCCTATAACTCTCTTCCCCATTCCCTGGGTATGGGGAGGGTGAGCGAGTGGCTGTGTAGTGTTTGGCTGCTGGACAGATTTAAACCATGATAAAAGAACTCCTTGTCCTTCACTTACACTGTTAAGGTTTAATCTAACCTTTAAGACAAGTCCTCAGCTGAAATTAGCCACATATAAGAGACAGCTGTTTTAGTAAAGGCTGTGTCAAATCAAACTCTGTATGAATTTTTCCTGTTATGGCAAAATGACCTGTACTGTTTCAGACACAAATTTTGTCTTCTATTATCTGTATCAAGTGAAAGACTGCATCAGAATTTGCACTGAAGTGTAATGTGGAAACTGAGCTCTCTGTTTTGAGGTAATCATTGAATTCACACATAAAATTTTTGACTTAACATAGTCCAAGTGAATATGGTGCTTTCCTTTATTTAAACTCCAGTGGCACACTTGTGCATAATTATTTACCAGAGCTCCTGTGAAACTCTGGGAGCCCTGAATTAGACATGAATAAAATATATTGCATAAATATGATGAGAGTACATCTGATCCCACACAGATATTTGAAGAGGGAAAATATCAGGACATTTTTCTCCTTTGTACCTCTCTAGCTTTACTTTCCACCTCTTTAGAAACACAGGGCTGAATACATATGGCTCAGAAATTTAGATGCTAGTGAGATGTTATGCCACTGACTCTTGACATAAATTAAAGCTAGGGACAGGTTCCAGTCACTGCAGTTCTGAACTCAAACCTGATCATTTGCACATGGAGGTGTTGAATTGGTAAGTGGTAAGGCCACTGGAACTAAATCAATTTGTAGTTGTAATTCCTGAGCATAGCTGTATGACACTGATCCTGTGAGCCCAGGAGTCATCATTGACTATATGTACATGAAAATATGTATAGACATAAGATGCCACATGCATAAACTGGATGAAGCTGGCTAAGATGCTACATGCCAGATATTTATGAAATAGAGAAATTCTGCATTTAGTTTTGTTTTCTTCTATTTATTGACTGAAGTTTCCCCCCCCCACCTTTTTTTTTTTTTTTTTAAACTAGGTACTGACTATCTTATAGCAGGCCAAGAGGACTCTAGGACCAGCAAACTCCTTGTGAACATGAACAGCCTGGTGAAACCCTGGAAAGCATATTTGGGAAAACAAGTATCAGATATTCTTCGAATTGGGTGCAAATAATTTCTGCTTCAGAAGTTACAGTGCTGAACTTTGCCTTTTAGTAACACTGCAGTGAAAGGTATAGTTAGTTCATGCGTTTCCATTCAACGTGCTCCTAGCTGAAGTGATGAAAGCAGACTTACCATCCTTTCTCCTTTCACATGCTTAGACAGGAAACTTGGGACATGACTACTTTTTTTTCAGAAAATGCACAGCTTTATCAGACAAAATTAATTACTGCATCACACATAGGTTACAAGTCAGTTTTTAATTTGAGCCTGATTCTACACACCCACAGAATCATTTTACAAGGAAAAACTAAAGATATGGATTAGTGTTTCCACACTTCAGGTCAGAGCTTGATCTTAATATGTAAAAGCTGCTTACATAATGCATTTGTTACTTGGGTGTAGTTTTCTTTATAAGTGACCACTAACAGGCAGCAATTTCTTTCAGCTTTACAAGTGGCATAGTACTAAATGAGCATGTCAAACAATACTTATTTAAAAGAGCTCAGATTGATTTAACATCAGACTGCAATTATGCCAATACAACAGGTTGCTTTCTAGAAGGCATTATTATCCCCCTGCTGAACAGAAACAAACTAACACATGACTTATCTTGGGACAAGGTCCTTTATAGATGTACAATGCTATCATCAGTGCTTAGCACTGAGGTCTTCTGCAGAAACCACCTTGGCTCAAGCTTGATTCCAAATACAACCCCTGCTCTCTAAGGTCATTTTGCTCTTTGCTGTAGTACTTTAGTCTCCAACACCACAGAGGTTTCACAGTGGTTACCGCTAGAAAGCCTTAATGCTAGGAAAGAGCCAAAACATGTGAGAAACAAGCAGTTGCTCTCATGTTAAGATTGTAACAGTACAGAAGCCACAAGACAGAAGCAGAAGGTAAATGGATTGGCTGGACTGTGTACTAAATGAGGTAACTACAGTTCCTGTGAGAGCAACCTGGCTATTTGAACTGTGCTCAAGACCACTGGCATATGATTGTACTCAGTGCTTTCATTCTCCTTTATTTCTCTTGGTCCTGCTTCAGGTTGATATACTGAAGCTAGGCTTCCTTTCCATTGTGCACGAGGATTATCCTTCTCTCCACGGAAATCGTTAATATCTGCACTCTAGGTAAAAATAGTTCTGTTCTGCAAAAGCATTCTTTCTAAATCAATTTTACACTACCCTATAGTAATTAAGAGGTAGCTACTTAAATAATTCTTTAACACTGTATTTTGAAGAAACTGTAGTTTAAGACCTGTGTCCCCTGTTTAAGGACCCACAATCAAATGAAGCTGATTGGAGCATGCTCCCTCTTCAAAGTAAAGCAGAAAGTAATGAGTCCGTCTATTCTTTCATGGGGTTACAGAGAAAAAGCATGCACACATGCTACTTTTGCATATTACTAGTCCATGTCTATAATTTAATGCTCTCAGGAAAGAGGAGATATCTTCACTTAGCTCTGTCTGACTGGAACACGGAGTATCTAGAAAAACCTAATACTAATGCAGAATGATGGAAGTCCCAGTCCACAGTTTAGGCCATTAGGTTGTTCTCTGTCATTAGGACCATGAAAAAACAGCTTATTTCATTCCATTTGTTGCTGTTTTCCTTTTAACTTCATAGTGGTTGAACAGCAAAAAAACTCACAAGTTTATTTGGAAATGGATGACAAGCAGCTATTTACAAAATAAAAGCTCCACTTTTTTCCCCTAATAGTGCATAAACAGTGTTTCTTCTTCTCCCCCTTTTCAGAAAGTCTGTCCTTCTCCATTGCCATTGCTTTTCCTCTTTCACTTCATTATGTATTTGTTGTTACCTAAAGTGGTATCCAACAATGTGGCGTTTCCACCAAGCCATTTAATTAATGCAATAAAACACTGCTTAACCAAGGAATTTGGCTTAATTTGAAATGTCAGCTTACAGAAATTAAGAGCATAGTAACTGCTTTCTTTACTGTCTCCAGAAAAGATAAGGAACATGCTCTTCAAGAGAGGCCACTTTACCTACATGGGATCTTATTTAATGATGATCATATTCCATTTTGGTTTTTAGTCAGTACCGTATTAAAACAAACTCCCCTATTCCACTTTTTGTATCAGATTGGTGATTCTGTGGGGAGGGTAAACATCTGTACAGTTCCTTTCTGTGGATGAAAATTTTTTTTTAACACGGTCATTTACAAGCACTTCTAGCCATTGCTAGTAGAAATATAATGTGGAACAAAAATATTGATACCCTGGTGTGTTCTCTTGGGGCCTACTATAATACAATAATTAATGATTACCAAATGCAAACAAGATAGCCATCAATGTATCACACATTTCAGATATCTCAAAAGTAGGTGATACACATTCAGAGAACAGTGTAAAGCAAGTAAAGTGGGGGTACTAAAAAATTTCCCATCTTTTTGAATCTCTGATTTACATGCTGGTATCTGTATAACTAAGTCTACTTCATTCCCTCCATTAGTTAGAAACATTGCACAATTTGTATCAGCTACTAGCTCGTGTTTAATGGTTTTGCTCAACAGAGTAGCAGCTATTCCATGAGCATGGAATTTAATTTGAAAGTGAAAAATAAAAGCACATTAGGGTGAGTCAACACTGAAAGTTGACTTTTTATTGGTATCATTACTTCTGCTAATCAGGTATCTCTGAGTTCATAGAGAAGAATAAAGTTTCAACTCACACAGAACTACCATGTGCAATCTTTGTTCTGCAGTGCTACAAGCCAGGTAGCCTGTCTGAAAATAAGTACCTGAATAGAAATGAACTGCATAGATCAAGTTAGAACAGCTGTTGATTAAGGAAGAGATGAGAAAGTTTAAATTGATCACTGTGAGACTTTGGAAAGGAAAAAAGTTATTTTCTTGTCTACTGGTACCTGAAATGAAGATGAGCATGAGGCACTGCAAGATGACAACTACCTTCCTAAGTAGAAGCTGTTACATATTCCTCAGAACAAGCAAACAAGATCATACATATTAAATTAAAAGAACTACCACAGAAGGTATGGTATACCTGCACCAAAACATAATTGTTTTGTAGGCCTGTCTACAGTATCACATACCTTGTGATCTTGTCTGTGATTGTGTGTCTTAGGTAGCACAGTAATACAAAGAATACTAACATGGAAAAAAGGATGAATTTGCCCAATACAGAAGTGGCTGGACAGCTTTTTAGTATGTCTAAAATGGGACCTGTCTTTAAAATGGCCACACAAATAACCCTACAGCACACAAATAGACAAGGTGTCTCACAAGCAGTAGCAACCACATACCAAACAGCAGCAACGATGTATCACTTGGAAATCCTGCATAAGGATGAAATAAAAGCCTTTACCCACAAGAAAATAAGTCTGGAAAGCTGTGGAAAATTTGTAATAGAGCAGGTGATAGTTTGAAGCAGAAGCATGTGTAACTTCACAGATAGCAACAAACTCAGGATTGCTGGATGTCAAAGTAGCTCTCTCTGTTAACAGCTGTGCAGCACATGTATCCATGAGCACACGATCATTCTGGCAATGCGGACCCTTAAAGCATCAAAGTAGTCTGGCAAGCAGCTAAGAAAGAAAACATACCCACGCACAACCCTTGTGCACTGCTCTCCTGAGAGTGGCTCACTGCTATAAAAAGTAAGTTTTCCCTGTAGCATTTACCATATCTCATAGTTTTTCCACGCTGCTTGATGTAAGCTTTCTTTGAAGTGATATAATTCACATGATGTGCTCCCTCAAGTCCTCCAGACCTGGAAAAGTTAGTGTGTTATTTGTTATGTGTTGTAGCACCTTTTTTTTTTTTTTTTGTACTTAAAAACTTCAATTAAAAATACTCAGACACTTATATTGATGTGAGGTTTGGGATCTGTTTTTAAAATTTTAAATCATGCAATCCTCAAACCACATGCACATTAATTCTTCAAGTTAATAAACCACAAACACTCCAAACAACAGGCTCTTGCTTCAGTAGTGTTAGCAAAAAGTACATTTGGTATGAGAACATGTACAAATTAGAAACACGACAGGTACAATTAATTATGTAAATGCTATGTTAATTCAATATCTGATCAAACCCCAGTCCTGCAAAATCTTGTATGTAGGCACCTGCAGGTGCTTAATTCCCATTAGAAATATACACATGAAATTTTACTGGTTTAAGATCTGATGAGGTTTAAAAAAAGAAAAAAAAACCTAACCGGTCCTAAAACTGCTCCTTTATGCTGAGTTGATTTATGGGATGCAAGGCATGAAAACAGAAATGTGTGACAGGTAGGAGGAAGTTGCCCTATCTATAAATGCTCCGAACTTAAGTATAGAAGTCTGCTTATGTCAGTCTCCATAACTAAAATCAAGCCAGTGTATTACAGAGAATTTCCCTTGCAACTTTACATTATAGTTGCACTTAGTCCTCAGGATCCTGTGCAAGTTCTTACCTTACATGTATTCTATTGAAAAAAACTATACCTCTAAGACCCAGTCTTCATTCTTCACACATTAATGACATGATAAATATTGCCATCATTCTTTCGTCTTGCAGCTTAGTGATGAGAAACACTATGGTGTACTGCTTTCAAATGCACAGGTCTAAGTCTTAAAAGAGAATTTTGATCCAGGAGACTGTCCCTGTATATTGGTACTAGGTAGTAGCTTTATGTCAGGTGTAGTGCTTCCATGGCAAGTAACACAGGCCAACATGAGACAATGTACAGTACGAGTTCTGCTAGCCAAGATTTTCAGGCCCTCGGCTCTTCTGCATTTGAAAAGTCTAGCTTTGAAAATATTAACTCCAATTCATTTGTAACGTGGCCTTTATGAGAAAAAACACAAGCACTGAGAGTATTTCAATGATTAACTGTGCAGGTAACACCTATTAATAACATTGTTACACACTTCCAATATAAAAACATAATGGTTATCAACTGGACTAATTCTAAATCAGCAGCTTCACACACAGCATGGGAAATGCTAACAAACATGGCATCCAACTATCAAATTCTGCCAACCTTGCTTGTTCCATGCAGGGTCAAATTGGAAGAAAATCAGCTGGATCCAACCTAGTTCATTAGCTTAGGTTCTTTATGTTGCAAGGAGAAGGAAGAAATGGCCCTTGGCCCTGGTAAGGGAACAGAGCCAACCAATGCCTGCATGGAAAAATGTGACTGGATGTAGGTGAAAAGGAAGCAATACTAGTATTTGGGGGCACATGCAAGGGGGACAAAACAGAGAGCAAAAGGAACAGGGTGGGAGGCACCAACGCTCTCATAACAGTAAAAAAAAAGTCATAAACCACAGATGTAGAAATCAAACACCCCACCCCCATACAGCACCCTATAAAGGGAATGAGGGGATGCTTTCACCTTCTTAAGAGGCATAAAAAACTTGTCATAATCAGAAACAAATAAATCAACTGGACCTGTCATAGCTGGTGCAACAAATCCCATGTCCAGTTACCATTCACAGCATTGTTGCAGCATCTGTGTTAATCTGCAATGTGCAATCACTACAAATCTTCTAGTACTCTTTGTTTTGACTGTAACAGGGCCTTCATGAGCTGTCTGCTCAGATATATCAATACCAATTTGTAATAAGGTATTTATAAAAAAAGAAAACAAAAAAACAAAAACAAACAAAAAAAACCCTACACCCAAAAAAACACCCCCAAAACACCAAACCAATCTCCCCGCCTCCTATCCTGTCCTCTCCTCCTCCCCCCCCCAAAAAAAAAAAACAACTCGCCCCAAAACAACACCAAAACATTTCTTCTTGTTTCAGAGACTGCCCTTCCATTCAAGCTTTGGCTGCTGACTATAGTTTATGCTAAGAACATGGAATTCACTGGAGGAAACACACACAAAAAAAAAGAAAAATTAAAGGAAAAGCCCAAGGATTCTTGAGGAAAGTAAAGTCAGTAACAGACAGGAAAAAAATCACAGCCTACATTAGGCAGCCATTGCCATACATTCCACTCCTGACACCACTGCGCAAAACTTACCACCTCAACTTTATTTTTCTTGAATTACAAAAAGCTTTTTTTGTATACCAAGCAGCAAGGACTGCACTCTCCAAAAGCAGGAAAAATTATTTAGTAATTTCAATTACATTAGAAAATGGCAGAGAGTTAAGCAACATTCCAAGCAGTTCAGTGTGTTGTACGGGACTACCTTCAGTCAATCCAAATGCATGTAAAGGCTGTTCCAGCTTGAACCACTCGAGGAATGCACAGGGTACTCTGATCATAAACCTTTGTGCTTCTGGCAGTGATGGGTACAAAACCCATCGCAAGCTTTTATTAATGCTATGAACATGTTAATAGCAGCAGTCTGAACTGCTCAGGGTGTCTTAGTAGAAACAGTTATGTATTACATTTACTAATATTTCAGTATTTTCGCAGTCGTTGAACTATTTCTTGGCCTTCATCGTATCAAGATACATCAATACTTGAGATAGATATGCTGCTGCTTCTTTCATGCTCAGCTACAGACCCTTAAGTCTTGAACTAGAATTCTAGTCATCCTATGCAGTCAGAACTAGTTTACAGTGAAGAACATTATAAGAAAAAAAAAAAAATAGCCTAACATCTTACTGTTTCAGGCCTTGAGAACCTCATGCTCTAGCTATAAATTCACAAGCAAATTACCTAATTTGACATTTTAAGTAACTTCACACTGACCCATGAACCATATTAGGTACTATCTTGCATTAGTGAGAAAGAATTAACACTGGTGTTATAATCATTCCTGCACTTCACTCTTCCTCTATTGGGTGGGTCTTCTTTCAAGTTCTCAGTATCACTAACAAACCATCAGCTCCAGAGGGGTTAAAAGCAGTTGAAAAACAACTGCAGACAGGCTGGTGCTGTTCAACAAAATGAAGTCATGTCCAATGAATAGAGCTGATTAAGAATAAATGACAAACTGCTAGTAGCTTCTCTACACTGTCCCACACTAACACTGCTAGAATTTTAATGAGAAGTAAAACAAGAGTCTAAGAAGCATATAATATCCTTTTTTTTCTTCCCTAGGAATAAGAAAGTAGGTTCTACCTATTTAGGTAACAACTTTCCTCAAAGAGATTCATTGACATGTGATCAGATAAGTGCCTTAGATGAACAGGAGACATCGCTGTAAGGTTTAACAAGGACATTCTCAATAAGAACTGCATAGGATATAGATCTTGTTTCCAACACAGCCCTGCCAGATCCCCAGATCTAACAATCCTTAGAATAAACTGCAAGATAAACATCCCCCTCCAGACACCATTGCGTACAACATTGCTGTTGCGGGGAAGAAGGGAAAAAAAGGTCATTTTTGTATCTGAAGCAAGATCATATCTCTAGGAAAGTTACGAAACATAAATTAAAATTAGGTCTTTGAAATGCAGATAGGCTGTACTATAAAAAAAGCAGGAAAAAATTAGTAACTTTTAAACACATTCTGAAAACGCAATTTTGTCTAATTTTAACCACTTTTCAGTAGCTAACTATATTTTAGAATATATTTTATGTTACAACAATCACCTATAAGAGAAAAGTTTTACAGGCAATCTTTATCCACATCAGGAGATGTGACACATGCTCCAGTGATTCAAGTTTAAGTTGCTTGCAGGAACAACCCCATACTAACAAGCAAGTTACCACAAGTTATATATGAATTTGTGGCCTGCATCATGCAAGGGTTCCAGGCACTTGGTAACAGTCTTACAGCCTTCAAAACTATGGCTTGTTTCACCACTGCATTAACTCCAGAATTACAAGGGTGTGTAACAGCTGAAGAATGGTTAAAACTCAAAAACTGATGTATAACCTAATAATATTGTATAAGGCAGTGTTTTAGGAGCAATGATAAAAGTCTGTAGGACACATATTAGTTAAAACCACCGCTTTTTATTCTAAAATCTAAATGGATAAAATCCAGTTAGGATTGTAACTATATGTAACTGTTCGGGCTAAGTGATTTGTATTAAAAACTGTCATGGTTTAACCCCGGCTGGCAATTAAGCCCCACTCAGCCACTCGCTCACTCCCCCACAGTTGGATGGGGGAAAGAATCAGAAGAGATTAAAGTGAGAAAACTTGTGGGTTGAGATAAAGACAGTTTAAGTAAAACAAAACCCACACAGACACAAGCAAAGCAAAATAAAGAATTAATTCACCACTTCCCATCGTTAGGCAGGTGCTCAGCCATCTCCAGGACTGCCAGGCTCCATCACACATAATGGTGACTTGGAAAGACAAACACCATCACTCCAAACATCCCCTCCCTCCTTCTCCTTCTTCCCCCAGCTTTAAATGCTGAGCATGATGCCATATGGTGTGGGACATCCCTCCGGGCAGTTGGGGTCAGCTGTCCTGGCTGTGTTCCCTTCCAACTCCTTGTGCACCCCCCGCAGGAGAAGCAGAAAAGGCCTTGACACTGTGTAACCACTGCTCAGCAATTACTAAAACATTCCTCTATTATCAACACTATTTCCAGCACAAATCCAAAACATGACCCCATACTAGCTACTCTGTCCTAGCCAAAACCAGCACAAAAACATATTCTATATTACATCCAGAAGTGCTTCATTCCTTGTTGATAGATCCTTTTATCTAAACTCTAATAAACATTTAATGACACTCAGCACGTCAGTTTTTACAGGACAGAGATCAACCAAAATGCACAGAATTAAATAAGAGCAATTACTTCATATTGAAAGCTTTCCTTCTCCCCACCAATGACTACTTTTGACCTGACATACAAAAGCACCTGACACACCATGCATGAAACCATTACAAAGTGACTCCACGCAAGCAATTTCTCAAAAACATTTGACTCTACTATTCCCGCTCCCAAAAATCAGTAGCTCACTGATAACAGATAGAGAACCAAGACATTATTTATGCAGAAAATAAGAAACACATTAGAACAAGACAGCAATATGCAGCTTTAAGTTTTGTATCCTGACAACAAAAATGCAACTTCTTATCATCTGCTTATTTCACAAGCTTGCCACATATTGTCAGGGATTATTTTATCATCTTTATTACATACTAAAATAACAACTGATTGATTTTAGATTTAAAATGGGAACATGCAACTATGAGGAAAATCACGTAAACAAAAGAATTCTGGGAAACATAACAGAAACAAGGAGTTACATTATCTATACGTAGACAACTGCATTGTTTTACATAGGAAAAAAAGAAATTCCAGACAACTTATTTTTGACCCGTTCATCTAGAGATAAAATCAAGTCTACTACTAGAGATGGTAATCTCTGTGTAAAATCCGTAATGCTTTCAAGGGATGTATAATGGTCAAGAAAGACAACTTGACCATAAAATTGTCAAAATCAGCTGCAGAATACACACTGAATAGCTTCTCTTTCTTCACTTTCATGGGTCCAAGGAAGTGGCAATATGTATTTCTTGATGATCTACCTTCCAGTTCCTAATCTTTCACTGAAGTGAAAGCTATACTACATGGTTGTCACAAACTTAAAATCCAGAAGGAAGTCTGACTGCATTTTAATTCTCTTAACATAACAAAATACAAATTCCATGGCAGTAAAGGTACTGTAAGAACCAAATCAGAAAACAAAAGGGACTGGACACTGTATCTCAATATATAGCCTTAATATCTTGTCAAGCAAATCCTTATTACTATTTTAAGTTTTTAATGGTTAAAGAAAAAAAAATCAGTCAAAAATAGAACAGGCTGGCACTCACAGCAGGAGCAGAAGCAAGAGAGGAGGAAGAAAAAAAAAATTGAGAAAAGAGAGACTTTTTTTTTTTCAGTCCAAGTTACATCATTTCCACTTTTAAGGGATTATCCGGAACACAAATGCAGCGAAGTGATGACAGTTAACACTACTTTCTAATTTGACAAGGATAGGAGGAAAAGAAAGTGATAATTTCCACAAAGACCTCCATACGATTAGAGCTATGACTTCCTTTCTCAAAACACCTCAAACACACCACATAGTGTTTTTCACAGTTTCTGATGTAGGGCCCTTACACATATTCCATATTTGTACTGGATCTAGCACAAGGTTACCAAACCACAGCACAGTCAGAAATAAGCAACTCCATCCTAAACACACCTTCAAATGTTAGATTATATGTTACAAGTTCCCCCTGTCAGTATCAGGTTCAGGACCCTAGCTACTGTAGGACCAGGATCCTTACATTTTATGTTTTGTACACAGATGCTATAAATACTGTTACTGCAGATAAATCCCAAACCTGTAGAGCATTGAGGCAACGTGGGAAAGAAAAGCACAACAGAAAAAAAGAGGCAAACTGTTCTTAGAACAGAGCACCCCTTCATAAATGGCTTTTGCTTCTTCACAAATAATGCACTGGATTTCCATTTGAACAACCAAAAGCTTGGGTGCATACGATTTTTTTTTTTTATTTGGTGCCCAGTGTTTATCTGATTGACTATCTGATTTTCATGGTCCAATTGCCTAAGTGCCAAGGTTTATCACTACCGCTTTTGTGCCCATTTACTCAGGTTAACTTGGCATTTGTCTTCCAACGCCTGAAAGAGTCACACTGAGAAGCTCTGTCACACTTTGTTTCTGTTAAAAGCAAAGAGATGCTGAGAGTACCTGCTACCCATGCCCTCAGAACTGAGTAGCTGACAGCTATTCAATTGCCTACATTTTTTTTTTGAGTATCCAACAGCTGTACTGAAATATAAACAGCTCAAACACACTGTAAAAATTTAACAGAAATCCCCCTTAAACATTCAGAAGCATCATCACTAACAGAGAAATAACTTACAAAACTAAACATACCAAAACATTCTATGGAAGCAATGTTCCTGAGCACTCAAGACTGCTGTTCACAGAGACAGACAAGTGTTTAAACATTAGAAGACTAACTGGGCAGCATTATTGCCACTGCAAATTTTAATGCTTTGCTTAAGTTATCCAACACATAAGGAGAGACAAAAAAACCCCAAACAGCTCTGCAGTGAATAGTCACTGAAGCCACAGGTACATTTTTTTTTGTAATACAATTTTCACAGCCTACATTTTGATAGGAAAGAAAAACAATGCTGTGTTCCTTTATCCATGTGTTAAACTACAGTGAATTACTATTAAATTATTTGCACCTTGAAAGTATTTTTCACATATTTTAAAAGCTGTTCAGGCCCTCTGTCATGCTGGTTCATGATCCAGTCTACTATAGCTACTGAAAATGCTTTACATTTTGTATGCCTTCCTGCTTGGGGCTGGGGAGAGAAGAATGGGACAAGAAGAAAAATCTGACAAGCTGGAGCAACTGAACTTCACAACCCCAAAACCTATTCAAAGTCTGCTTACAGGCAGAAGAGTGATCTCAAATCCAAGCAGTGTTAAGAAAAAAAAACACACCACAAAGACACAGGAGCTTTCAATGAAGGTAAAAAGTATTTGCTTTTTAATATGCACTTAAGTCACAGTATCTGTTTTGTGATCATTACACCAGGTAACATTTTCATTGCATTCTCAAACTATTTTACAAGAGCCTGTCTACACACTGACGGAGCAGGTACTAACTAAAGGAACCCAAAAGCTGGTTTCAGATCAAAACTAAAGCCAGTGACAAACAATCTTTCCATTCACCTTTATCAATTGTTGCACAACACACCGTTTTTGAAAATGCAAAAGCCATCACAAGTCAATGAAATCAAAGGAGATACACATTTCAACATTCTTCTGGTCATCCTTACCTGCTGCCAGTAGTAAAATGCAATCATAATCCAGTAAAACCATTTGAAATTATTTTATAAATTCTAGATTTAGGCCATTTTCAATGTCCTGTATCACTCTGGCAAAAAAAAAAAAAAAAAAAAAAAAACAAAAAACTTTAAAGAAAAACAATCATTTAATGCAATTTCTATTACTAGAACAGAATACATTAAAAAAAAAGAGCAGCTATTGATCGGAACACACTGAAATGAAGACAGACATGGTGTGCTAGTGGAATTTTAGTGGAAAGCTATATATTTAAAAGACACTATTCAAGTCAAAACTCAAGGAGAACTTGAGGATGAAGAACAGCTGTTAAAGTACTAAACTGTGTCTGATAGCAGGCTACACAGTACATACATATACTCATTCTTTTTGCAGTATTTATTTGCAAGGTTGTAGCACTGAGATTTGTCCTTCAGCAATTAAATTATTTACTACAATACAGTGTATAGAACAACGGTGAAACATTTCTTGACAACTCAGACATACTGCAAAAGTCCATGTCTCTAAAAATGAGAAATGGAGACAACAGCCTCCTTGCATCTTCATTAGCTAGATCCCTTCTCCTCTTTGGCAGCAGAAGCCTCCATAGAAGTAGCTTCCAAATCTTTGCTTGACTTCTCTTTTTCTTCATTTTCATCTTCTTGAGGGTAAAGATCTGGGTATTTTTGCATGCATTCCTGCATGGCACGGAATTGGTCCACACAGTCTGATCCCTTTATTTCTTCTGTGCTATAGTGGAAACAAGAAAAGGCTGACTTGAACTGTTCCCCACAGGGACCACTAGCCATTCCACCCAGACATGGGCAATTCCAATTGATATCTCCATTGGGCAATATCAATCCTGAACAAACAAGAGAGAAGAAAAGTTAAACGCTCCTTCCAAAAATTGATTTCATTTAGTGAAAGCTGCTAGGTTGGAGGTATAAGTTGAAATACTAAGAATGCCATATCAGTTCTGTAGCTTCAAGGGTGCTAAACGCGCCTCACTTCTTGGCCAGTCTTTCTATCTCTGATCTGTATGATCCTTCACTGGGCACAAGTGAGATCAGTTCTACATCCATGCCTGAATTAAGTCTTTCTCCCTGGACTACAGGCCACTGAGAATATTCTAAGGAATCTGCAGAAAAGATCAGAACGTAGTCAAGCCAGACTCTGTCAGGGGAAGAAGCAAGCCTTAAAATCGTGTCATACTAGTAATAACAATTTAATTCCAGTCTAGAATTCTTTTAAATCAAGTTGGATAGATCATCATAGAATGGTTTGGGTTGGAAAGGATCTTAAAGATCACCTAGCTCCCCCTCCTCTGCCATGGGCAGGGACACTTTCCACTAGACCAGGCTGCTCAAAGCCTGTCCAACCTGGCCATGAACCCTTCCAGGGAGGGGGCAGCCACAGCTTCTCTGGGCACCCTGTGCCAGTGCCTCACCACCCTCATAGTGCATTTTTCTTCTTGTTTTAAATGAACTCTGGAATACTAACCCACAACTTTCCCCCTTAAAATCTGAACTGGAAAACCAGGATTACAAAAATGAAAATCAGTTTATTTGTAAAACACAGATTAAGTCACATGCCACAGAACACAGAGAATAGTGAGAGCATGCCAGCCTGGCTGGTTCCCAGACACCAAGCTGCACTTTCGATCACAAATGAAAGTGAGTTAGGTCTCATTTTAGACTCAAACTGGAACAGCTGTAAATTTCTGCTCTGGAACAGTTAAAGTCATCACAGAAATACTTCAGTGATGGAATAGCAAGGTGAAGACTTAAATGGGCATGAATTCTTTGAGACATCAACCTATTTGCACAACGAAGTTCAAGCAGCAAGCCAGAAAATTCATTTCCTCTAAGTTTTAGAAAACCTTTAAACAGTCAGTTGCCTAAAATACTCCCACAAAATTCGATAAACCTACTTATTGCCTTTGTGCTGTGGGATCATGAAGTTCCAGATGTATGTTTCACTCCCACTAGCAACTCCTTGGACTCTAGGCCACAATATCATGAAACTTATGTACTGGTACACCAAAAGCAGCTCAATCATATTTATTACTATATTAAAAGGAATGAAAGGAAAATTTTACTCTTATTTGCAACCCATCAATGACGTGCTCCAACTCAGTCAATGCAGTTCAGCAGAAAATTACACTGAGTCAGTCAAATCTCAGTGTTGATCAGTCTCCTTTTCATTATAGAAAGCAACAGCCTCCTTAGCACGATTTATTCAACTATGATAATAGCTTCGTTTTTCATAGATCATGCTTTATTCAGCAAGACAGTTTTGTCAACTATCTGTAATAATCAGAGTACTGAGAAGATATACCTAGTACAGTGCATCATGGAATCACTAGCTGCCTGGAGGAAGAGCAGAACTTCTGAGACAAGGAAATGGAAGGCTGGTGCCAGATTCCATATTGTCAAGGATGACATAAAGCAGAAAGATGTTGATCATACACTAGAAGAAACATGGCTTGCTTTGTAAACTAGGTTTTGAAATCCTATATTACTCTTCACTAACATCAACCAGTCATTTTAAATAGTCATTTTTCTAATACTTCAAAAAGAAAAAATACATTAAGAGCCTTGAAATGTTCCTGAAGACACACCACATCAATAAAAATAATTGTAAAATAATTCTCTTGAAATAAATTGTTCCTTTTAGAACCATATTCTTGTATATCACATGAGCACTGATTTGCAGCTATTTGATCACTGAAATAGCATCAGCTTTGGATGTCAGATGCACAGAAACCATAATTAAAAAAAAAAAAAAACAAACAAAACCAACAAAAAAACAGATAAAGGCAAGCATTTCCTCACTGATAATTACAGCAGAATGCACACTTCTATGAGTAAGTGTATCAGCTAGCTTAGAACACAAAACGGAAACAGATTTCATCCATCACTTCCTAAATCGCAAGTCTGCAGTAGACAGGATAACTATTTTTCATTAAAATTTTTATTAAACTTCTTTCAAATGCAGCTTGAACCTCATTGATCCAGTAGGTCATAATCTACTTGAGCCTGCAGTTGGGAAAGAAACAAACAACCCTGTTTACATCATAGCAGAACAAGGCTTGCGTTAGCAATTAACTGCTGACATCACACAACCTAATCTCTCTTAGCTCATGGGATCTGTTAATGTCATGGATGAAATAAGGCCCATCTGCCTTTATATCAACTCTTGCCTTTGTGTGAGCTGTAATGAAGTCCCACTGTTGTTTTGAGAAAAGTTTCTTCTCTGTTATATGACAAACATTCCAATAACAAGTTTATCTGCCAATGATTCACAAGGTAAGATGACAGGTACATAGGAAGCAGGATTGAAAGGGACATCATCAGTCATAAAAACAGTCCTGTACATCTGAGCATTCATCAGGTTCGTTCTTAAAAGAATTAGGGTTTTTGCTTCATCAGTCCTCTATGGAAACCATTTCAAAATTGTCTCTAAAATAAGATGACAGGAACAAGTCTGAAAAAACAGAGAAGGGAGAAGGCAGCAACAACCTGTGTCTGAGGTGCAATTCCATAAGGCCTTTTAGCCAACTGTCACAGCTGTAATGCTAATAAGAATTATTTATCATGCACAAAACTCACCAGTGTCTTCTTCATATAAACCTAATAAAATAAGAAATTATTCTGATGGAAGCAAAGATCTCAATGAAAACTAGAGATCTTTCACATTTAAATTCCTCCATCTGCAACACATGAGACCAGAAGCAAGCTTTACAGTGAGAATACTATTTCAAAACTGCTGCAAATTAATTCTTAATTTGTTTTCATCAGTCACAGCTGTTAAAAGGCACATCTCAGTGAACTCTGAGATACACTGCAATATGAAATGTTAACTCGAACCTACTCTAGTTTGTCTGTCTTCCTGTTTCACATGGCTTCATTGCTTTCAAAGTTTTTGGCTTAAAGTGAGCCATTAACATTTTGCCTACCAAAATCTCATAACTGATAGAAATAAAAAATACTATGCAATTTTATTTTCTCCCAAGGGAAACAGAGCACAAGTTTTCCTGAATGATCTACTAAGGTAGACTGCTCAAAAACTAAGGTCTATTAATGACTGATGCAAGATAAGAACTATCAAAAAATACCAAACTACATGTTTATCTTGAGTATGAAATAGGCCCCTACCTAAAACCAATTCCTTAAATAAAAGTTTCAGCTGTAATAGAAAACAATACAGATTATGGTATATTTATATAATAAATCTATTCTTTCCCAGATATGACTGTTCTGTGCATAGCACAGCAGAAAAGATGAAAAGAGTCATTATAGTTAATTATACCACAGAAGTTGAACACTGGAAGCCAAGTCTTCTATTCAAAGTAGAAGCTAAATTAGAAAAGCCTGTATGTTACTTTATGTACAGCAAAGCCCTTTCCAATTTTCTTTTAAATAAAAACCACACGAGCCAGAGCTTCTGTACTTCCAACATATTCCAAAACATTTTGCCCATATGTCTTTCCTGCCCACAAATTTCACTCTCATTAGATGCAGCTACATTCTGTGATGTCAATTGTTTCTTGGTCTTGATCTGATGTCTTGTAGCCTGAGATTGTTCAAGCGAGAAGTTTTCAGAGAACCCTTAAAAACACGGCAGTAACTTACCACATGCTAAGGAAAACAAAATAAAACAAAAGCTCCCAACACAAACTTATTAACAATATATAAACAGTTTCTAATTTTGAATCACACAGACACACATTTTCACTGTAAGGGGTCCCTCACAACTAGCTTCTGGCTTCCTTTGTTTTCTTCCCTGCTCTATAGTTTAGGAAGCAAGTGATCTAACATGCTACAAATGCAGGACTGCTAGGAAAAAAACCACCTCCTCCTCACCATGGCCATTCTGTATCCAGCAAAATACACATAAGAGGAATCAATTAATATGGCATTTAAACTCGGAGGAAGTGGCTCTTTTAATTTTGGCTAATTTATTACCCAAATATATGGCACAAGACTATACAGTTGTGATATACATACAACCAGAAAAATAGTAATTTGAGGTGAAGGGGTGGGTCGTGAGACAGAAGGAAGAGGATCCTCTCTTTAGAGGTACCAAGAGAATTGTTTTCTATGTTCACATTCCAAGCCTTTGTAGTATGTGTCTCTATTATGCTAGATCTGAGACAGGCACCCTTTCCTTTCCCCTTACAAGCCTGTGTCAAAAATAGATGTTTAGTTATAGGATCAATATGCATCCACATGTTGTCACTAGACAGACACCTTTTACTAACAGAATATTTAATTATCACCAAAGACCATGAATAACTATAAGGGAGAAGATAGGTGAACTTTAAACAACCACGTGTAACATCAATACAGACTGCATATATGAATTTACTTAGCTGAACAAGTCACTTTATTTAGCTGTACACTACACAAGGTGACTTAACAATTCAGTGAATGATAAAAATCTCCAAGGGTTTGTATGTTCTCCAGATGTGATATCTAGAAAAAAGTATCTTTCTTTGCTTTATTTTGCAAGCAGTCTCCAGTTTTTCAAAGGAAACTGAAATCCACAGAAAAGAGGCAGTTAACTCTTCAGTTAACAGACCAATAATGGATTTTAAATTTGCCTGAGACAGGAGTTAAAAACTCTGATTTTGTTTCACTTCTACATAGCATACTGACAGGAGAAAATACTCTTAAAAATGACCTCTCCTCAGACATTGTTTTCCACCCTAAGGATGGACTACTTTACATGAATCATCTGTAGGTTCCATCTTCCACCCTGGAATGGCAGTAATAGATGTGCCACGCAGCTTTTACTGCCTGTAGGGGTCTCTGACATCTTTAGGGGCTGAAGCACCATTCCCATATTGAAGATGATGACAAATCCCAAAGCATAGACTGTTTTCACCAAACAGGCAGTAGCCAGTGAAACAACCTACCTGAAAATAGAAGGTAGAAGAATTCCTGGAAGATACCAAACTGCCATTTTTAAACACTCTTCTGAAATTGAAATTCTCTCATTGTTCGTATTTGGGTCATTATAAAACTGAACGGACTTATCACTGATGAGGAGCAAAACTTTTAGATAGAACTACTGACTACATATAGTTGTAATGAAGCCAAGATAGGTAGCTAAATGTAAAATAATTTCAACACAAATTTATGTATGAAAAAAAGTTATTTTCATGACATAGGAAGATACAGTTCAAATGAAACCACACACCGTATCAGTTAACAAAGCAACCCCCTGTGCTCCAGCCGCTAAACTGTGAAGTACTGCCCTCTAAAGGTCACACAGCCCCTTGCATAACTTTTAGTTTCTAACAATTTCAAAAAGAATGAAGCATTTACTTCAACCTTAGCTGAGTTGAAAGCAATGAGATCACTTCACACAAAGAGGCTAAAAGACCTCTAAGCATAAAGACAATTAGAAAAAAAAAAAAGTCCAAATTCACAGATGTTATTGACAATTTATTAACCTAGGGCAGAATTTATTTAATCATCAGGATCAGATTATTTAACTTACCCATTAGAAATAACCTAAAATATGCTCTGTGCAATCAGAATATTACAAGTCTTGATCTCAGAAATATTTTTCTCTCTTCAATCTCCACTTGCAGGCTAGATCTACCTCATAGAAGAACTGTAAACTTTAATTTACATCGTTTCAAGGCAGGATGTCTACAGTTGAAAACAGTAATTTGAACTTACCTGTCATGTGCCATTGAAAGACATCACTACCAGTTATTGATTGTTCTGCTACTATTATAGTACAGGATTAGTCAGATATAATTTATATTAAATTGAATATTCAGAGATCACCAAATTAGGCAATTTCAGAGGCACATAGGTAGGTGAGCCTCCTATCAATGACAGTGGTATGTAATTCACTTCAGCTTCTCTGAAAAATGCACTTTGTCATTTAAAACAGTGGAAAAAACAACCACAGTTTTCACTGATTAAGCTCTAACTTTGTTAATAAAAGAAAGGAAGGAAAAGTTTTTTCTGGATATCTCTGACTACTAACCAAAACTACAAGCCATCAACTGATGTATTTGAACAGGCCATTCCGAATAATCATTAAAAGTGCAGAAGAAAAACCCACTGTAAGGAAAGTATGTAATTTGTGATGTCCTAATTTGGAAGTTAAAACTGCCAAGAATTTGGGTGTTTATCTACTGAATAACCAGCTGTTCTCAGTCTTTAAAAATGAATGAATAATTTGTTCTTACTTCATGTAAGGTGTGTTTTCTGTTGCACTTGTTTTTTAAGACTGTTAGAATATAAATGATGTATCACTCCTTACTTCCCTTCTGCTTACTACTGACCTTGTTCTTCATAAGGGTCATCCGGGTCATCTGCAACCAGCTCAGCACTGCTTGGTGTCTCATGGTCCTCCTTGGTCGCAAATATAATTCTGTCTTTTCCTATCATATAGGAGACAACAAGCAAAAGTTCAGAGAAAGCTGAGACAGGAGTCATTTACAAAGCTGCTGAACACCATAAGGTAATGAGATATTCAACATGATGTATTAATGTTAATAGAAAATTAATTCAGTTGTACTTTTCAATCACCTTCAGTTAGAATAGTTGTTGGTTCAGAGGAACACATATGAAACTGAAATTCTATTCTGCTAAAGTTCCAGTTTTCACAACATACTGTAATGGCTGCAGATCACAGTGCAGTTCATTGAACTGTGAAGTTAAAAAGCTGTTACAAAACAATCTCAAACTACTCCCTTACCAGGACTAACCTGGATGAAGGGATTGGGCCAAAAAAAGGAAGAGTGAAAGAAAAACTACACTAAATGACAGTCAAGTGTTCAATGGGATACTTATTAATAACAGTACTCTTCATTAAAGACTGTAATATTTTACAGTAATTATCTGAACTAAATACTGAACACCACCTTAACAGAGTAGAACCAACTATATTGAAAGGTGCAGTGAATATTACCAAGGACAAAAAAACAGCACAGTGTACTTCCTGCTCTTGTGCCACTCTTGATTTGACAAAGAGATTCTACAGCTGGGGGGGGGGGGGGAGGGGGGGGGCGATGTTCCACTGGAAGCCTGAGTTTTCTATAAAAAACAGAGGCAGGTACAAGCAGATACAAACAGCTAGCTGAAACTCCTCTGAACATGCAACTGAGTAACTGAGTATTCACTGAGTGGAAAAAGAATGGTAAGTTTCTCAAGAACTTCCTTTCATTCTCCAAATTCATAAAGGTCACTACAGTGCCTTAGCATGTTATAAATTAGTATCTTATTGCCCCTCAATGTGACCTCAACTGCAGATGTTCAGTAACCTCCTTTACTTTGCTCAGTAACCAATATACATTTAAACATGTCTGAGAAACAGATAAATCTAACCCTTTTTAAGAGGGAAACAGCCTTCCATCAACTCGAGTTGTATTTCAGTAAACTTTATAATGTAGAATGTCCAGTCATTTTGTATATAAAAGAAATTAGAAACAAAGGAACTCTAATCCCTGACGTTGTAATTTTGTAGGATGCCATAAAAACAATTTCTAGATCTTGCAAAGATCCAAGATGTTGTTAAAATAAATAAATGAAAAACAAAGCAAAGAGGTCTATAGGTCATGACTACCACACCAGTTTATAATCAGCATTTAGTGTGACAAAGTTTGTAACTTTAAAATGGCATTTAGAACATCAGAATGGCTTTTTTCCAGTTTGAAATTTTACATTTAGTCACTTTACATTATTTAAGGGGGGGGTGGGAAATATATCCCCCTGGATACGAAGTGGTCAAGCCTCATAAATACCACAACCCGTAATACTTTGTATGGATAAAGAAATGTAAAGCTCGCAGTTTACCCACCCTGTCCATCTACCATGTTTTCCCTAAAAAGGTAAAAAAAAACACCTCTGGCCACTTGAGCTAAGCTGGTAGAAGCTCAACCTACGGGAGGGCACCATTCCACGCCACGGCCGGGAGGGCACCGCATACCTCAGCCACTCCACCGCAAACCGGGCGAGCTAAAAGAAGAGCCCCGAGGGGCACACGCGCTCAGCCCTGGCCGCCTCACGGGGATGTTTCAACGAGCCAGCGGCACTTTCCCTCCCCGCCGCCGGGACGCGCGTCCCGCACACCGCCCCGCAGCGCAGGCCGGCCCCTAGGCCTCCCGGCCAACGGCCCCACCGCGGCTTCCCGCCTCCCGTGAGGAGAAAGGTCCGAGGAGGAAGGCGAGGCAGCCCTCCCACCGCCGCGGGCAGCTTTCGCGCCTCTCCTCCCCTCAGGCTGCAGCTCCCTTTTCACGGACTGAGGTTGATCGGGCACCCGTCCCGCGTCTCCCCCAACCCGCAACCGCCTCAGGGCCAGCCCGCCCGGCCCATCCCGGCGGCGTGACATTGGGAGGACAGCCGGGCGCACCTTCTTGCCTGCAGTAGGACATGGCGGAGCCGCCCGCTGCCTTCCTCCGTCGCGCCCACACGGACTCGCCCCGCCGCCCTCTTCGCTCCTCCTCTAGCACCGCCACAGCAACGGGCAGCGGCGCCGCTGCTTCACGCTTGTGACCTCCCGCGCCCGGAAGCACCTTCCCTGCCCGCCGGCCGCCGCTGACGCGTGTCCGGCCGCCCGCGGCCCGAGAGCCAGCGCAGAGCAGCCTGCGCTGCGGAGCTGGACTACATCTCCCAGCCTGCCCCGCGCCCGGCGGGGAGAAGGTGCATGACCCAGGCGGGGACTACGCATCCCGGCATGCACTGCGGGGGAGGCGGGAAGGCCGGGCGAGCCCTGAGGAGAGGGAGGGCGCGGCTGCGGGCGGCTGTTGGTGCGCGGCTCCTGGGGCGGCTTCGGTGCGGGAGGTTCCAAGATGTCGAGGAATGTGAGTGCTGCTTGGGCCGGTGTTGGCGTTGCTCCGCGCTGCATGTGGCGGTTCCCCTGGGTCGGCTCGTTCCCGCTCCGGCCGCTCCCCTGGGGCGCCCTGTCTGAGGCGAGGGGCCCGGTGCCGCGGAGGGGCCGCAGTCATACCCTGTCTGGAACCTCGAGATGAGTAAAAGAAGCCTCACCTCTTGGCTACGTGTGCTAATGTGAAGTTTATTCTTGGTTATTCCCCACAGCCTACGTAGAGATAAGCCCGTGGGCTGTCATGCTTTAATGTGGCACTGGCTAGGACAGCAATAGCAATTTTGTTTTACACTACCTCTTTTCATTACTCTAGATACAGTTATTTTAAAGTACGCAAGCACTTGCCACTGGTGAAGTAAAATGTAACTTGTTATTTATAGCTATGTTTTAGCTGGTTTGGAATTCAGGAGTATTACTCAATTTGTCATGGCCTGAATGTGGGGTGTGGATGCCAAATACGGAACCTAGAGACAGACTGAAGAGAGCTTGAAGGAACATGCTGAACCACTATAATAGCAATTGTTTTTTCCATTAAGCTCGAGTTTTATTTGTTTACTGTATTTCTGGTATCAAAAGTGTGGTGAGGCATTTAATAAATGTGGGAAGGTTTTGGTCCAAGATGGGAGGTGCTACTCTGTAGAGCAGCAGTATTAACAGAGCTAAAAGACATCTTTTGAAACAGAATGCCTTCTCCTTTCACACCAATATTGCATTTTTTGGTTTATCTCCAACAGTTCTCTGACACAGGCAGCAGAAAAGAACATGTTAAAATCACAAGTGAGTCCAAACCAGGGTTCCTGGAGAGGCTCAGTGAGACTTCTGGAGGCATGCTGATGGGACTTGTGGCATTTCTTCTGTCATTCTACCTTCTTTTTACCAATGAAGTAAGTGAAATACTGTCAGTGTTTATACACTGCTTTAAAATGTCACAGTTGAGCTGACATTCAACTAGTTTTGCATTTATAGTCTTAACAAAAAGGTCATGTTAAAGCTTTATTACTTCATCCATCAGAAGAAGATGCTATGTCTGGAAATCCTGGTGCTTATGCTTGGGATATAACAGAAGAGTGAAATCACAGGGCGACAGGTAGTGTTTCTGTAGAACTGAATGTAGTAGACACAATGGCAGCATGTGATGAGGGATAAGATCCGAACTTGTGAGCTGATGTAGAAACAGGCTGTAGTATTATTGAAAGAGGGTTGTATGAGCCAGCCACATTCCAGTCTTTCTCGTTTCTTTGGATAACATAGGGTCCTCATTTCTAGTGTCACTGTAATGGTGATAAAGGAATTCATGCTCCGTGTTGCAAAATTGAGAGTGTTAATTATTTTCAGTGTTGTTTTACGTCATGGCTTTAGGTTGAAAAAATAATTAAAGTAAGCTGGGAATCCTGCCACCCTGCTGTTGCACAGATACATGCTTTTGGCAGTTTTGGAGTGAGGGAGCAGAATTCTGTGAATTTTCACCTAAGACTTCCTTTTATACTTCTACAAGAGGAAAGATAGCTACTCCCCATTTCGGTGATTTTGCAGGAAAAAGCACACCATAACATGATGGTAAGGTAAAGAAAACTTCTGCCAAGTAGTTGTGTGAGTCTATGGAAAAAGGGCTATAATTGGCATAATTTTTGCAGTTGTTCATGAACAACAAACAACGTAAGAGGTGAAGAGCAAATTTAGACCCTTGTAGAAATAATCTATGTGTGTTTGAGGAGCTTGGTCAGTGTTAATGGTCATGCTGCATGGGTAAGAAGTATGGCCCCAAACTCAGGCAGAGAAAGGGAGCGTAGAAATACAAGCATGTTTCAAGAATATGACTTGAGGCTGAATATACAAGCATTCCTTGTAGTCTTCAGATCACTTGTCTGCTAACTTTTACACAAAATACTGCAGTATCTTTATTTCTCCACAACTTGATTTTGCTTTTCTTGTTTGCAGGGACGAGCTTTAAGGACAGCCAAATCTCTTGATGAGGGACTTTCTCTTGTGATCCCTCTTGATAGCATCCACAGTGTGTCTCAGCAGAATGAAGGGAGATTGGTGTACTTAGCTGGCGCTCTGAGTACATCTAAGGTAAATAAAGCAGTATCTTGAGTATTTCGAGCTTGGAGGGAAGGAATTGTCTTTGCCAATTAAAATTACATTTGATATCCAGGGAGAAGACATGTAGACTGCCTTAGGTGGATAATTTCAATTCTCCTTTGCATAGAGAACCTGTTGTGTATTCATGATATTGTAAAGTCTTTAGGCTCTAGCAGTACAGAGGCTCTACAAGTTCTGACTTTTCAGTAGCGATGTCGTTTTCCATGGTCAGCCTGCATTACAGAAGGTAACACAGTGCAGTAGCTTCCAGCAAAACAAAATCTCCCTAGGGTTTACGCACTTAAGCCGGCATGCCAGCATTTCTACTTTTATTCTTCACTACAGCAATAATTTTTTTATGATGATTCTTTAGGTCAGATTTAACAGTGATATAAAGAGATGCTCCTTTCTGTCTTTCATAACATTTATTCTGTATTCAGCTGTATGTAACGTAGTACTAACTGTGTACAGTGAGGTATGTAAATGGGTTTGATGATGAAAGTACAGTGTTTGAGTTTGTGAGATACAGCATTTCTATTGACTTGTATTTTCTTTAATTTTTAAATAGCCTTTGTTTGATCCCAGCTATGGGCTCTCCATCCAGGCTGTCAAACTTAAGCGTAACGTGGAAATGTACCAATGGGTAGAATATGAAGATTCCACGTAAGTGAGAGAAATCTTTAAAAGCTGTTTATAAAGCTAGTGTATTAACAGGATCCCATCACTCTTTTCATTTCTCCCCCACCCCCAAAGAAAAAAAAAACCCAAGTCTTTACGTTAGAAGAATTCTAGAGCTCTTAGGGTTTTTTAGAGAGTCACTTTAATTTCATTGGAGATGTCAGGTCTTGAGATGGCCAATGCCGCAGAATTTTTGCATCTGTTAAAATGCGGGTAACATCCAAGGTCTTTTATCAAATGTTTCCACTTTCTGAGTTTGTATAACTTCATATGGGGTTCCTTGGCCTCCATGCTGCAGCTGTGGTTTTTTGTTCTCATTATTGTTGTCTGATGTGCCATCTCAGAGCCCATTGACCTCTTTTCTGTTGTATGTGTTGCCAACAGAATTCAAAGATCTTTACCAATTTATGAAAAAGAAAAAAAAAAACACTTGTGTTTTTCCCACAGACTCAGTTGATTTCTGTCCTTTCTAACGTTCCTAAAGCTTCTTTTATTTATTAATGTACTTTCTGCCCATCACGATTTCTGTAACTCCACCCCGATAATACTCTCTGCTTGCTAGTTGATTAGCAGAATCAAAACCATTGTCCCAAAATACTTGTTCCTGAATCTTTTCGAATAAAACTTCATAATCCTCTTTTTCCCTGCATCCTGTAAGCCTGTCCTGCTGCCATCCTCTAAAACTTGATCATGGACCTTCAATCCAAATTTTTTCACTGTCCTCAAAATGGAAATACAAAAAGATTTTTGCTAAATCCAGAAATTTCATCCTGTTTTCCATTGGCTATCTTCCTTTCTTCCACAATGACAGTGGTTTACTTGTTGGGGTTTTTTAGTTGGTCAGTTGGCTTTGGGTATTTTTTGGATCTCCCAAAGCAGTCTTAACTTTTGTTAGAAAAGTGAACCCAACAATTTCAGTTACGAATTCCAGAATAAACTCTGATAAATCCATTGACCCAGAAACTGCCTGGTTGATACCTATAGCCTAACATACACTAGAATATTTCAAAGCAATCAAAAACCCCTATTGTATCCAATTGAATCTATAAGTCAGATTCTTTTCTTAGACTTGTGGACACTTGAGACTTTTTGACGTATGACTGAGGGAAATCTCTTAATTTCTTTGGTACTTCAAATGAGTGCAAACTGAAGTACTTAATTAAATCAAGATGTGACTTATCAATTTTTAGAAGACTCTGCTACCTGTTATCCTTAATAATCAAAAGCCAACATTAATTTCTAGCTGTGAAAGTAAACTGTAAATTTTAGTTGCTTTAGAGACACTCAGATTTGTTTATAATAGGCAACATTGCAATCTAGTTATCTTTTCAAGGGGATTTATAAAACTGTAATGAGATGTTAACTACTCTGCTAATAGTTGAAAGCAGAAGGGCAACATTGCTGTTCTTAATAATAATTCTACTGACAGTGGTATAAAAGTTATTAGCTACTATGTAGGTCTGACTCCACAGAACTCGCGTTCCAAATGTCTTTTGTGTTATACAAAAAAAAAAAAAGTCAGAGGTTGTGAAGGTGTGGAAAATAACTTCTCAGTTTTAACATGCTTATGGTGCAACATCTGTAAAACACTTGTTTAGGTCAGCTTGTCTCACTGTCTTTAATGCTGGTTATTCCACATCAATCTAGTCAACACCTCCTTATTGGCAGCATGGGAATAAAAGGGTTGTGGCTGTTTAGCATTTGTGTGTAGTTTTCTCCTTGTACAGAGAATCTGTGTCTTCAGAATAGGTAGTTCAGAGAAGAGTTAGTTTACTTGCAAAGTTTGTGTTGCCAGTGAGCTGTCTGTGCATTTCGTTTGTAAAGTGTATTCTGCCCTGAGGAAGGGTATGTGTGCACTGTTTTGGTTCTCATCCCACCCCTTTTCTCTGCAGGGAATATGAAGAGAATGGTGAGATTAAGAAAGAGACAAAGTATTCATACAGTAAGTTGATCAACACAAAATCCCTTTTCTTTTATGCACATAACTTCAGTCTTCTATGTGTGTGTATTTTGATTTTTGTTATAAACCCTCTATTTTCTTGTTGAATAAATAAGCAAAAATTCTGTTTCCTAAGCAAATGGTAGGACCTCCCTTTGTTGAGGTAACTGAGGTGAAAGGAGGTGTGCAGGTAGCAAGCAACTACTACAGAAGGTCTTGTCTTGAAACTCCTCAAGGTTCAAAGCAGCATCTGATGTGCACTGTGGTTTTTGCCAAATGCTTTTTTGGCGGGAGCAGAACTGAGAACATTGTTCTTATCTACCCAGTAGCAGAAAAATAATCTGAGTCATCGTATATATGGAGGTTGGTCTCTGTGCTTCAGTTATCTCTGATTAAAGCACGTGGATGTGTAATGTGAGTGTGCAGCAGTTTCTGGGTGTGATCATAAAAATACCCTGGGTCAGTGAAGCATGGCATACTGCAGCATGGAGATACATAAGGAGCAAAGCTAGTGGTTGTGAGCTGTGAAAACCAGCCTTACAGTGTCAGGGAACAAAAAGAAATGCCATTTAAAAAAAACAGCTGCCCTCTCAAGATTGATGGACTGTGTCCAGTAAAAGTCTGTATATTATTAGGTGTGGTGGGTTAGCCTTGGCTGGCAGCCGAAGGCCCACACAGCTGCTTGCTTACTCTCTCCCTCAGCAGGACTGGGGAAGAGATTGGGAAGAACAGGAATGAGAGAGCTTGTGCGTTGAAATAAAGATAGGGAGATTGCTTACCAGTTACCATCGTGGGCAAAACAGACTCAACGTGGGGAAGAATAATTTACTGTCAGTTAAAATAAATATTTAATTACTGATTGGGGTGTCGGCAAAACACATTTGCTCTCACTCTTTCCCAAGCTCCACAACTTCACTCCAGGATCCTCTTCCCTTACCCCTCTGCCTTTGTTACTGCCACAGGTTACACTCACTCCCTTTAGTGGGGCAGCAGGTGGTGTGGGGGTGGAGGTAGGATTCCAGTCGCTATGTAGTGGTTTTTCTCCACCACTCTTTCCTTCTCACATTTTTCCCCTGCTCCAGCATGGACTCTTCCCATGCTACAGTGGATATCTGCTCTGCTGTGGAGCATCTCCTCCTCCTTCTGTGACTTTGGTGTTCCCTCTGTTGTTTGTTATTCCTTTTTGTTCCCTCCCTTGCCCATTTGTTGTTTTCTGCCTTTTCTTAAAAATCTTTTCACAAAGTGCCCCAGACTTCACTGAAGGTCTAACACAGGGCAGCCTCTGACCTCTTCCAACAGAGAACACCCTGTACTAACCCCCCACTACCAAAATCTTGTCACATACCCAATACAGCAGAATGCCTACTTCACCGTTTAACCAAACTCCCTTTCCTTCCTCTCTACTCCTTCATGGAAGTAAAGCAAGCTATATTTCATGTTGAAGCCACTCAAACAAGAGACTCTAGTTTTTTAGGAGTTATAAGGAACCTACTGGAGTCTGTTCTGGGGATGGGGGAACGCTGCTGTGGCCCAAACAAAGGCGGCATTATGCATTTTTGATAGTGACACATACAGGTACCATCTCTATCTGTTGCTTGACTGCACTGAAAACTGCTAGTTCCAGCAGACCTCACAGCTTTTCCTTACAAAACCAGATTATTCCCAAAGAGTGGAGCCAGGAATCAAAACCTGATCCTGGAAGATGCCAACAGAAGGGTCCCACTGTGCAAAGTTCAGTTACAATTTTATCCCTGAAATCCTTTTTTTTTTCCTAAATGCTGATATTCCTTGTTAATATGCTAGGAGGATGGATTTAATGTCAGTAGCGACTATCACATACATATCTTGACGTAAACAATACTACTAGAAGTGTAACTTGGAACTGATTAATTGATTGAGAGGTGTCTTCAGTAACTATGATCTGAGGGGCAATTCTTCCTGTCTTTTTCTCAACCTTTATATCATTTTTTTTTAGATACTGAGTGGAAATCGGAAGTTGTGAACAGCAGAAACTTTGATCGAGAAATTGGACACAAAAACCCTAGGTAATTTACCACCTGGCACAGTCCCTCTGGATTCTGTCACTGTCTGAGCAAAGATGAGAGTGAAATGACTGATCTTCATGACACGGTGCAGTAGATGGAAACTGTTGGTCTTTTGGCAGTTGGGAGAACTAAGGCATAGAGAAGTTAGAGAGCAGTTCAAAGCTGCCTGGTGAAACCAGAATGAAGCTGTGCTTTAGTAATGGCTGGACATCAGCCTATTACTGTATTACCCCTGGACTGTGTGGTTCTCATGTAGGACAACTTGGGTGGGTTCCTCTCTGACTGTTATGGTCTGCTAGTGCAGCCTATTACTAATTCTTTCTTCTATTAGAAATACAGGGTTAGAATAGCAGGCATCCCATGAGTTTGTCACACCACTTGTATGCTGCTTTTTCTAAGCTAGCATGCATTAGTTCACAGGCTTATTTGTGGCAATCACCCATATATAATTTATTTCATACATCTCTCATCTGCAGCATTGTAGTTACACTACAATGTACCATTTTTAATGCTAAGTTTTACATTGCTTGTCATTCTCACAGCACCTGCTTGGTTGCCGAGGTTGCAGGATGCCATCTGACAAAAAACATTATGTGTGAGTGAAAAATACAGTCAGAGAGATAGTAGGACCAGGATTTCAATATAAGTTTGAACATTGCAAAATCTCCAGAACTTTGTTTTGGTTCTGTGGTCTCATCCAGATACACTGCCCTTTATTTGGAAGTACTACTTAAGGAAGGAAGACAAAGATCTATGTATTTTTTATAAGCCCCAACTAGCAGACTTGTTTAGATAAGAGACAATGGAAAAAAGGATGCATAGATGACATACCTGTTTTGTCTCTCCTCCCCATGCACACCTTTTTGTTAAGGAATAATCTCCAAGCCTTCTCCAGTAAATGCAAATCTCCAGTGGAGAGTAAGAAAGATATTTTATTTAGTGCTATTGTAGTACCTAATTTAAAAAGTGCTGCAGCTAAGAACGTTTCATCTGAGTGTATTGGTACAAACAGAGGAGACTGAGCATAACTGTGATGGATCCTTGTGTGAGACAGAATGGTGTATGTAGACATGATGAACTTTAGAATTCATGCCTAGCATTAATGAGACTCTATTTTAAGTGTGTACTACATGTCTTCTTCCTTCCTCCTATCCATCTTTTTATGCAACTTAGACATTTGTGAAAATAAAATCTGTTGTTTACTGCCAAGGAGATTCTAGTAGTACCACTTATGAGAATGAAGTAAAGGATTCCTGAGTTTGGAATTTAACTTGGCCAGAATGTAGAAGTAGCTTTATATGGAGAAAGTTTATGATCTAGGTTTCTTAATTTAGCAGGTAAGATCTAGCAGTTGACAGCAGAAGCTAAATAAATTCAGGCTAGAAATAAAGTACATTTATGCATGTAGTTAAATGCTGCAGGAATTAATCTAGGAATGTGATTCATTCGTTGTCACTCAAAACCTGTGTGTCGCCAATGAACGGCTTCCTAAGAGCTGAACTCCATTTCAGCCCATTATAGGTTCAGTACAGAAAAAACTAGTACAGAAATCCTATGATGTGAATGGAAGCCCAGGCCAAGGGATGAGACAGTCATATCTTGTCTTAACTTATTTTAATGGCTCTAAGAGTATGAATGCTGGACACAGTTTCTTTTCACATCATGACAGCCGCTTAGCTCTTTGAGTTTCTCCTCATGTTTGACATAGTACCTTTTTTGTGCTGAGTGTTACATATTGCAAATCAAGAGATTGATCATAGTTCTGGGACTAATCAGGGACTCTCTTCCTCAGTGCCATGGCTGTGGAGTCTTTCACTGCTGTTTCTCCTAACGTCCAGGTTGGCAGCTTCATTCTTTCCAAGGGTAAGGATTGCTTTGTACTCGCTTTGTGTCTGCTGTTGCATCAGCAGTGGACTTTAGTTCTTTCCACTGTGTGGTCATTTCAAGTGATAATCGGGAAGCCAGCCAGCAAATTGGTTGTTCCAAGTTAGACACTGGACCTGAGCTTGATTCTTTGTTCTGCTTAGGTCTTGTGGATAAAATTGATGACTTCAAGCAGTTGAGCTTGTCACACCTTGAGGATCCACATGCTGATGTTACCCGCGGAGGAGATTACTTTTACCACAGTGAGAACCCCAGGCGCCCAGAAGTAAGATGAGAAAGATAAACCAAAGCAGTGATTACTATTATGTGGAAAAGAAAGTTTGGGTGTGTTTCATTTCTATTTAAACATGTAGAAATTGGAGTGCAAACCATCACATAGGATCACACCCTTAGTACAGTCCTTCAGCACGAATGCTTCTCTTGTAGGAGATTTCTGATCCTGCTTTTCTGTCTTCTGTTTTGTTGAGTCTGCCATGCCTTTAAATGGCAATACACGAGATGGTGCTGGGAGGTGGGTTCCGCCTCTGCCTTGCTGTGCTGAACAGAGTACAATGAAATAGCTTGTTGTCAGCTTGTGCTGCCTGCCCTCCTCTGCCACAAGATGAAATGACAGGAGATGAACAGGATCTCATTGGTGTTAATGTGCTCCTGCAGGTAAATCAGAGGGGGTATTGCAAAACAGCATTTGAATTATCCTGTTTCAGCTATCAACTAGGCCTGAAAAAAAGCACCACTTGGAAGTTGTTCTGGGTATCATCTGGCTTGACATAAATGTTCAGAAGAACTGTTAATACGTAAAGGGTGTTCCCATGCAGAGTTCTCTTTCCCGTGATTCTCCTTTGTAAAGAAATCTTTCTTGACTTCCAGTATTCTCCTTTTTGTAGGTAGGAGACCTTCGTGTCTCGTTCTTCTATGCAGGTCTGAGTGGAGATGACCCCCATTTGGGCTCTGCTGATAAGGTGAGTCTTCACCTGTTTCTGTGTTTTGCAAACTCTGTTCCCAACTCAGAAAACATTAAATATTTTTCCCTTTCTCCCAAGGTCACTGTGATTGCTCGTCAGCAAGGTGATCAGCTGGTTCCATATCATACCAAGTCAGGAGATATCCTGCAGATTCTGTACTCTGGGGATCTCTCTGTGGAGGTGAGAGACCACACTGTACTAATGAAGGGTTAAAATTGGAGATGGTAGTGCAGAAGCAGCAGGGGAGTAAGCTCTCATTCTCCTTCAGACCTGATCTAGAGGAGGAGATACTCAATACAGACATTGACTTTTTTCTCCTTTTTCTAGGACAACACGTTATAGCCTGTATTTGCCTTCCAGATTTCTGCATGTTCTTTGTGTTGCAGCAAAATACCCTGCTTCCCCTCCTAGCAGTACATAATTTGGCTGTAGTTACTCGTGATGGGGTTTTTTTAATTTTAAAAAGGAACTGTGGCTAAAGTAGATTTTTTTTTTTTTTTTTTTTTTTTAAATCCCCTTGTGTTGTTGCTGAACATCCTTTGCTTTACAGGCTGTTTCTGTGCCTTCTCATTTTGCTTTTATTTGCTCCTTCGTAGTTCCCACTTACACATGCAAGGACATGCTTTTGAAAAGGTCGTATGTAAAAATAGTAAAAAACAGGCTTTAATTAAACAAACCACAGGACCTATCCTCTCTTCAGCTTCTAATAACAGGAGTTTAGGCTTGTTTGAAATGTTTATTGCTATTCTGGCAGAGAAAGAACCTTCAGGCAGAGCATTATGCTCAAATGAATCCTGCATGCTCCAGCAATTTGGTGATTCATTTACTCCTTTTAGTAGGTTTGTTTCCATTAATGATTATTTCATGCCCTGCTGCAAAAATTCCAGATGTCAGGAATTTACAGGAACTCCCAAAAGCTGTTTAAAAAGGCATTTGTTTTGAGTTGAAAGAGAGTAGCAGTAGAATCAGCTCTCCACTGTGAGCTCTGAATCTTCATTAGATAGAATTTTAGTTCATTGGAAATTAACTCACTACAAATTAATAATTTGTAGAGTACTTGTATGTACAAGTAATCAAGCACTCATACACATCTTTTCCCATTAAATGCTTTATTATGTCTTAGCCATCTTCATGTGTATGTTTTATAGAGCCAGAGTGGCACACAACCCGCTTTGAAAAAATCTCACTCACAATTCTTGCAAATAGTTGCTTTGCTTTGCTTTGCCTGATGAGATATACACCTACCTCTCATCTTTTCTTCCCTGCATATCGCTTGCTTTCTTTCATACACCTTTCCTTCAGCCAGCAGTGGATATTGTTTGGAGGAAGAGAGAAAAGGCAACATAATGAAGTCAGATTGTTCCTCCTTTATTACATTTACTTATTAGTGTCTTATTTTCCATAGTAATATTGAATGTATCCATTTGTAGCAAAAATTGTGTGCTTTCTGCCTGCAGGTATAGAGTGTCAAGTGGCGCTTGTTTAGGTGCCAATTTAGAAAAAAGCTAGTTCCGTTGTGCTGCACTTTGAAATCTGTTGTAGTGTACTGCGATACCGCACTAAAAGACTCTGCAGAATGAGCTGCAGTGTTCCTTCTCTGAGCGAATTTGTAGTCCTAAAATGCTGTCGGCTCTGATTTGCTCATAATGCACTGGAATCGAGAGGATCTCAAAAGAAGTTGAGAAACAGGCTGTGTGTAATGGTGTTTGCTTTCAGGAAGTGTTTCAGAAAGAGCATGAGAGTAACACCATGAAGACCTGGGCCCTCCGTGCAGCAGGCTGGCTGGCAATGTTTGTAGGCATCAGCCTAATGACCCGAATCTTTCACACTTTAGGTAAGTTTTTTGCAAAAAGGTAAAATGATTTAGAAATAGGATTATAATCCCTAGAGAGTCCTTTCTTGCTCACATATGCAGTTTATTTGGAGGTCAAGAGGAATCAGGTTTGAACTCAGATTGGATTTGATCTGAAAGTCACTGTAGCCAGTTGCAGGTAAACAGGATCCCAGAACCAGATGGCTGCTTTGTGAGCATTAAAAAAAAAGATGCAAGTATCTCTTGCCAGTCTCAGAAGATCCCAGCCCAGTGTTTACCATAATCAGAAGCTGAAGCACATGGGCTGATTCTTTCCAGTCTAACTCAATGTGCTGCAATCCAATTACTTTCCACACCCATACAAAAGTGGTCGCCCCAACAGGTCTTAATTAGTAGTTGTATAGTAATGTGTCTTTGTTTCTGGTTATTCTACACTACTGTGAACAAACAGCAAATAAAGTTTTTGTTTATCCTTTTAACGTAGACAAATGTTGGAATAAAAGCTTACAGAAAAGCAGGACAGTACCTCAAACTTGTGTAAAGTTGAGACATCAAAGCTACCATTTGCTTTGTAGCTGTGAACTCATTTTTTTTTTCTTATTTATCCATATGTATGCTACTGTGAGATTTATTGTGCTAGCATATTTTATAAGTTGCCCTAGACTTGTTCCATAGCTGCGAGGCTATCAGTCTACTCTGTTTCTCAAGCCTTGGGCAAGTCTTCAGACTTGATTTTGGATTACATTCTATCTGAAGAGACGAGGATACTGTTGCCCTGCATATTTAGGTGTTGCTTAATTATCAAATGCCTTGAGGATACTCTGCTGAAAAAAATGACTTATCCAGTGCTCTTGATAAATAATTTGAGTCTGTCTTTTGATTGCAATAGTTAGTGTGTAAATCCTAGGCATGAATAAGACTTCCTTTTAAAATACTGTCTTGTCAACTGTTTTATCCCTTGTTTAATTCTTCCTGCAGTGGACTGGTTTCCTGTTGTGAGAGATCTGGTTAACATTGGATTAAAAGCATTTGCCTTCTGCGTAGCCAGTTCACTGTCGCTCCTGACCATCTCCCTTGGCTGGCTCTTCTACCGCCCTCTCTGGGCTTTGCTGATCGGATTGCTCGCTGTAGTTCCAATTGCGGTTGCGAAATCTCGTGTTCCACCAAAGAAGCAGCAGTGAGAAGGAGGTGGGTGATTGGGTTTTGCACTGAATCCTGGTTAGAAACTTTTCAAGTGCATTTCTCTCCTGGTTACTGCAGCGTGCTTACAGCGTGTCACAGCTCAGCGGTGCGCACCAAGCATTGGGGAGGGGACTGGAGTCTGGTTGTCGATACACACTAGCTATGAAAATACGACTACAGGATGATGTTTGTAGGAAGTCAGTGACATCAACTTTGGGGAAAAAAGCATTTTGGAGCATCTGTATTGATTGTAAGTTAGTGAACAAACAGATTTGTACCTATTGCCACTTGCCAGTTCCCCCCAGTGTGAGAACTGGCAAGTCCTCACTGACAGGTGGGGCACCTTGTGTATTATGGAGAGTGTGCCAGCTGCATCACATGGGCTGTGATTAGATGTCCTTAGGAAATACATGTGTGTACCTGTCTCTGACAAACCCTTCCTCTGCTGCCTCTTACGTGCACAGTCACATATGCTTCTTTGGCTCATGCATTTGGAAGTGTCTATGTTCAAAGGAAAAACACAACTCAGTCAAATTTCACACAATACTTATGTAAAATCTATGCTTTTGGACTGAGGATTTACAAGGTAACTTGAAATAATGAGTGGCCAGGTTAGCAGTGCTCTAAGGTAGAGCTAATTTGTCAGAAGGCATTGATTTCCCCCAGCTTTAAAAGTCTCTGAAGTTGTTTTCAGTTAAGTGTCCAAAATGGTAGTGTGGGCTATACTGTTGCATAACTATTTGAAAAATTTAACTTCGAATTGCACTTATTTAAGGGGACACTCAGAGGTCACTAACCTTTAAAAATAAAACCTGCTGCCTTGAAACACAATTATCTTTTATAATTGAGTATATATTCTGTAAAATACTTGGAGTTTTTTTGTTGTGTATACTGTTCATTTCTTGGATTTCACTTAGTAAGGACAATGAACATACTCCATGAAATTAAATAATGAAAACAATTTTGCATTATTAGATTTCATAGGACTTTAGTAGCCTAAAGGTTGAGCTTTGTATCATGTTAGAGGAATGGCTTCTTACAGTGTTGTGAAAGCTCATGTTTACATATTTCTGCTGTAACCAGTACTTGAGATTAGAGACTATCTTGTACTGTTTCTAAGTCTCTCTCCACCTAGCTAGACTCTGGCTTCCCCTTGTGCCCTCCCGACACTAGAGTGGGTTTTTCTCTGTGAGTATACACAATTCAGTACAAAAATAACATTTTCATTTATGAAATCATTTTATGACCACCAGGAGAAATATGTTTCCTGTACCAAAGGAACTTAACTTGAACATACATAGAAGCAAATGTTTGCTACAGATGGTACTGAAATAGAGATCTGAGTTACAAATCATAAATGTTTTTTGAAGTAGTAATTAGTTTATTAGCCCTAATTCTTTTCTGTCTTCTGGTATTTGACTGTTGTCAATTCAATCTCGTGGCTTGGTTCTGCTGGTAAAAACAGTGAAAAGTTATAGGAAGTGCAGGTGGTCTCCTGCACACAGCTGGCATGCATTAGAGATCCTGTGCAGCCCTCCTGCTGCTCACGGCCAACTTCTGATCCATCAACTAAGAATTGCACTCCACTGGGGAGAAAACCAAGTGTTGGACTGCTGATTTACCAGTGATGAAGGAAACTAACCAGCATTACCATATTAGAGATGAAGATACAATTTTCTACGAAAGTGCTGAGCTTTTGTATATTTACAAAAATAACATTTAATAAAATACAATTTTCAAAAGGTTGGTCTATAGGTTTCTTTTTTAATTACATTTACGTATTGCAAGTTTTATGTCCAGGTACTTGAAGCTTAGTTTGTAGCTTCCATATGAACTAGTTTTCTACTGTCGGTCAAGATAAATACACAGTTGTGTTTTGTTTACCCTGCAAATATTTCCCCATTTTAGGAAGCAAGTTCCTAATAACAGCACAGCTGTTATCTGGTCTATGTACTCCTGTGGGACAAAGGGCTGATTCCAGCCTGCCACGGTTTTACTCCCCATCACTGACTACTTAAGTAACTTCCTTGCCTCCGTAAGATTATTTGAAAAATATCTGGTTCAACCTGACAGGGTACAGCCTCTTGTATTTTTCAAGAGACTGGGCATTTACCTATGCATTCAACAGCTTAAAATACTTTTGATTTCATACTAGTATCTGTACAGGAATGACACAAAATAAAGTAAGACTTTCACAGTCAAGAACTTCATCTTTCCCGGGCCAGGCATGCTGATGGAGCCAAGGCTCACCTTTACTGCATGTACACAAACGTTTCTATAGAAGCAACTCGGGCAGTATTTCTCTTGCTTCCTTACCAAAATCTGACAGAACATGTACCTGATCGGTCAATCATCTTCCCATTCTGCTTCGCTCTCTCATCTCTTTCACCTTTTGCATGCTCAAGTTAGGAGAGCTGCTGCCTACATGGCCCAAGTAGGATCCTGCCCTCTGAAGATGTTACTGTCTCTTTTTCTGCTGATGATAAAGAGTCACTAGACTCCTTGACAGACTTTCTGCATCTGCCGAGTGTCCCAAGTTAGGAAGGACAGAGTTGCTTTGCTACAGCTGGTACCAGCTCCCATTTTAAGCTGATGAAAAATTGCCAATACCAGCAGGAGCTGGGCGTGGGCCCTCCTGTTCAAAGCGCTCATCCTGGGCTCTAGCCTGTGGATCGGCACAATGCCTAACACAAGGAACTATGTCCTCTGGGCCCTCTGCAGTTTTACCAGTTCATGTAAGATTTTGAATTTTTCTTGAAGCCTTATACACAGGTCACGTCTACTCCCCAAACCTCCAACTTAGGTTGCTTTTTTATTATTTTAGAGTTCTGTAGCAAAAACTAAAAACTCGGCATGAAATCCCTTTTTGCAAGCAGCCTGCTCTGGGATAGCCTGGGACCTGGTTTGTGCCTTCTGGAAATACTACACTGTGTTATCCTCATGTGAGTCCTTCCAGGGAAACAGAGCTACTTACAGTAGAATGAGCTGGCTGGGGCGGAGGTGTAACAGACAGCATCCTCTTTTTCCATACTTTATTTTGTTCTACAAATACAGTACAAAAATAGAGTTTTTTCTGAACATAATTAAATGTAAGCCATTTTCTTGCATTTCAGTCTTTCCTCTGTGACAATGTCCAGCAATGACAAGACTACATTCCCCTCTATTTTTGAAGAGACAGTGTCAGTGTAATTTAGTTGTAAAGTACTGCAAAAGACAGATCATCATTTCTATTGCATTTCTATTGCAAAACTGGGAAAAGCTTGTGCAGATTTAACATTCCTCTCTCAACAGTTTTTAAATGCTTAGGTACTGGATAACATTTACAAGAGCTCCCTGGTTTCAGTGGAATTTGTTTCTGACAATGACCCTCAGCCAGTTTTACATGTTTTGCTCCAGAACATACCTACGTGGTCTTGATAAAACAAAACTGAAAAAAATATGTATATATTCAAATTACTTAAGAAGACATATTTAACCTGAAGTTTGAAATGAGGACAGGGCTCCTCCCTTCTAATGCACGTGATTTCTGAAATTAAAGGAAGATTGTAGGCTGAAAAGCCAAAACTGAGTTTTCACATAAGGCAGGTATTCTTTAGAAAGTAAATTTTCAGATTCCTCCAAATCTTGACTGAATGTTTCTTTAGCCCTAGAGGAAGTATTTCCCCTTCTGTGATGATGAGACAGTAAGATCAGAGCTCTACCTCACCACTGATTTGGATAAGGTATGAATCAAAGAGGGTGTCAGCAATCCTTTGGCCAGCTCAGCACAGACTGCTAAACAGCAGCTGCATGCTTTAGTTCTGAGCAAGCAGGCAGAAAGGAGAAAAATGGGAAAAGACAATGCTAATGAAAGGAATGCCTCAGAAAACAGAATTATTAGTGCCAAGTGGTACAAAATAGAGCAAAAAAACCCCAGCGGCACAAAAGGATCTCAGAAAGTACAACTCCACATCTGCTTCTCCTAAGTCCAAGGATAAAAGGATGAATCTAATTACCTGTGATAGCAAAAGAAACTCTTGATACTGAATTAGGTTGGTCCCTGATAGCTCAGGAACACAAGTGCACAGGAAGACTTCATCCGTAACTGGCAAAGGATACTTTTGTTGTGACTATTGTTCTTGCATCTGGAAACGGGAAAGAAAAGCTTGTTCTCATCACAGTTTCTCAAAGGGGAACAACTGTGCTGCTTCTCCTTTCTTTTCTTTCTTGCTCTTTCTCGTTGTCTTCTCCTCTTTTTTTTTCTCTAACTGGCGATTCTGGGGCCACAAAATGTCCGCATTCCCTACTGCAGTCTCTGAACTGGGACCTCCTTCTTCATCAGAAGAGAATCCCGCTCCTTTTTCTGTCTTGTGTGCTGATGGCTCAGTCTGGAAAAAAAGGCAAGAAAACCGAAAAGTTGTTCTAGAAATCACTCATAACTACATCTTTCTAAAAGGATTTCTCTTCTGTCACAGTGACACTTAATGAATGACATTACAAAAGCTGGTTGCTCCGGTTTGGGCTTCTCACCCAAAGCACAGCATTTCTATTCCTGGGCATTCTTTCAACACAAGCAAAATATTGTTGCTAATGGAAGAATAAAAGTAAACCTGCTTTAAAAAATCATGCTTTTCACCTTTCTCAATGGGGAAAAAATTAAGAACTAAAACATTGGACTTCGTAACAAAAAGCAGCTCGCTCTCATCCTGTTAGCTATGTGCTTGGCTTGGAGGAATAAATCTAGGAAGGGGATATGTTGAAACAGAAAATAATACCAAAAATCGATGCTTTAGGAAACACTAATTTTTTGTTAAACAATAATGAATCTTCATGAACACAACCACACTGAATTTCTGGTGTAGTTTTTTTTACTACTTGCTAGTCACATGCTAACAACAGGAAAGAAGATTTTTGAGCAACTGCACTCTGGAAGCTCTACTCTCTACAGCTGGAAACATAACACATTGGAAAGACTGGAAAAAAGTCTTGGTAGAAAAATATCACCATAAAAAGGAAATCACTAATAGAGAATCAGAATACCTTGATGGAGTAGCGTTGCTTCAGTCTCTCTCTGATGAGAAGTCCTTTTGTCAGCAGCTTCCAATTCCCCAGAGCTCTTTTCTCGCGCTTCTGTATGGGATTATTATTGAAAAGAGGAAAATTTACTATTGTAACTTTCAATATATTTATGCCCACAGAAAATGGAAGTTTGAAGATTTTAAACTGCTATCGAAAAGACTCATGCCAACTTAAATGTGTCACATTAAAAGACTACAGGCCACTAGGATTCTTAAGAGTAAAATGTATTGGTGTCCAATTACCTGCTAAATATATGAATTACTGTCACTCTCTAATGTGCACCCTGACTGTAAATTACACCAGAACCACCTCCAAAACTTTAACTTCACACGTGTATTCCTCACTTTTGTTTCCCAGTAGCTGTGGAAAACTATTCCAGAGTATGCACCACTTCAGACACTGATACACACTTGTACTGCATCCCGCTGCAGTGCAGACAGCAAGCCAAAATGGGGCATCTGGGGGATGCAACTAGTCCCTCACGGTCCCAGAGCCCTGTGTCCGTTGCTTACATAGCCTGCCCTTGTTTGACCGTCCATAGTTTCAATGAAATTTACTTAATAAACGTAACAATAAGAAAGCTGCAAAAATAATTCTCACCTCCTTCTCCTTCTTCTCTATTTCTGCTTGTTCATTCTCCCAGGCAGCAACGAGGATCTCTTTATACTCCTCACAGACAACGTAGCCATCGGTACTAGGAAGGAGAACACAATCCTCTGTCAGCTACTAGAAGAAAAAAGAAAGGGAGCAAATGCCTGCTGACCCGGTCAAACCAAAAGCTACTGAATATTGACAGAACTGTCTCATAGGATCTAAGTGTGTAACTCGTCACAGGTACTCCTTAACACAGGGTATGCAACTTCTGCCAGACATCAAAATCTGTCAGCTGCAACAAACACCTTTACGTACACTGGGTGTGAGTAGCCGCCATGAAAATCAAATCCAGTGATGGCTTGAGCACAGTCGATGTCCAACTTCCGTGCCACTCTATTCAGATTTGGGAGTCTCAGCTGCACACAGCCAACAGGTAACATGGATGGCAAGAAGAGATAGACGTTTCCATATTCATTCCGAGGAACCTGTTATTGCAAAATTAAAGAGAAACGGTGACACTCCTGCTCTCTGCAGAGGTGAAAATCCCTGCTGTAACCAAGGGACTCTCCCTTCTGACCTGCTACATTCCACTCCAGTATTTGATTAATATTCACATGACAAGGCACAAGCCTAGATTTTAGCTGCATGGTTATCTCCTAGTTATGTTCTCTGCCCAGGCAGTGTTACTCAGCCTATAATGCAGAGAATTAGCAAAACAAACATGGGCTAGGAAAATCAGATCAAGTAAATCATAAAGATAGCAGTCTGCACTGCTAGCATTCATTACTTGTAATCAGGAAAGAAAGGCCTCAGTGAAGTTTTGACCATTTCCTTCTGGGTACAGTTATGTTTGAACTCTTCATCCTGAATCCAGATGTTACTGACTGATCTCACCTCTGAAACATGCAACTTCTGGTAAAATAAAGCCCACAGCTCCATACAAAACACTTCCTTTAACACCAGCCCTCTGCCTTCCTTGCTACCTTTCCATCCACTGCTATAGGTGGCTGATACTCCTCTGTCTGCCAGCGACCAAACAGTGCCAGGTCCTCTTTGTCCTGGTTTGCAGGCTCTGCAAGGCGTGCCTTCC